TCCAATTTGTCGCAAGCTGTATCGAACATCAGTGTGACTTTTTGTCCGGTGACGGGAATCTTTTCGCACAGCGAAGCTTTAAGGCAGACGATCACTCCGACTACCGGACATGTATTTTAATCGACATTCTGGAGCGTTTCCTTCAGCAGATTAATCTTCACCGCAGCCCGATAAACCGTATTACGTATAACGTAGTTTCTTCGACCACTGCAGCCAATTACATCCGCAGTATGCGTGGAGATGATTCTGATTGTGATTCAATGCTTTTAATTTCTCTTTGTTACGGTAAGCAGGTCGCTGTCACGGAAGCACGTGCAAAAGAAGAATCAGCCTCTGCCGATGGATTCGCAGGATCTGCCTTCTCCGACGAAGTTATGCTGAACGATGTTGAACAGCTCAAACATTTGATGGCATACGACCTTGGTTTGGCAGAAAAAGACTGTGCATGGCACTCACCTCTCCTTGCCTACGCCCAGTTGAAGGCACTGAAAAATATGCGCATCCGATCCAAGGAATCTGAAGATAAAAGACGTGAAAAATGGATGCAGCGAACTCAAGGATATCTCGAAAAACGAGAAGAGAGGAGAGATAGTGTTCCGCCACTGCGGACTGACTCACACCGAAATGTTGGACGCACTCGAAGTCGATCGGTCAGCAGGACCAGAACATATCGACCCAGAGCTGAAACACCAGCACCGCCTCCGGCACCTGTGCGAGGTCCAGCAGCTAAGGCCAGACCAGTTGAACCTGTGAAATATAAAGCTGCACCGAGATCCTTGAAGGAATCACCAGCTCCGACGTCATCAGGATCTTCCTCTAGTGCTAGGCCGCCTGTAAAGGCTCCTCCAGTTCCGGTTCCCGGACGAACACTAGGTTCACAGCAACCAAGAACGCCTCCTGATCCACCGGGACCGCCGAAGACTCCACCGCCGTGGAGAGAGAGATCACAGCAGGCTGAGCAGAGGCAAACGACCAGAAAAAGGCCGATCAACGTACCTGAGCCTCCTGCGCCTCCATCCCGAATATCGGGTACACAATGGCTTGACCAAGGAACAGCTTCCAGCTCTTCCGGACACCGTAATTACGGTTACAGCTATGATCAGCCGTCGCACTACAGAGTAAATCCCAACACCACTCGAGTAGAATACGTCCCAGGGTACCAGGTACCCAGACAGCGTTGGGTCCAGAAATACGACGGATCGTGGCTCGACATGATCCCTCAAACACCGGATCAGTCTATTTTCTTTCATCAGACAGGTGAACACCGTAGGCAAAACGAGTTGAGTTTTTACGGTTACTATTTCACTATGGGCTTGTAGCCCCAGAAAAATTGCAATGTTCCGCATTTGCGGTCGCTTTCCACCTGTAGAGAACACCGCTTGCGAACAGCGGAGAGTAGCTTTTTGTACAGTTTTGTTTTTGTCTTCGGACCGTCTCACAGCAGATCACAGGCTGAGCGCTACCTGTGAAACAGACTTGCATGTTCCGACACGAAGAAAATTTGTGTCTGTTTGTGATTTATTTTGTTTTACGTGTCTACACAATGCATTCATGCATGTTGACATGTACACTTAATTCATATCTTTCATGCGCACTCCGCATGGCTCAAGACTAGCAGCAAACCGCTTAGTTAGAAAAGAGTGTGCAGTCGCCGTCGCTGACCGCAGGTGTTCATAGGTCTCCAGGGCTCCCCTAATAGAGGGATAGCTACCTCACCCCCCCGGCCATGGTCATGGGTCAGCCATAGTACTGTCCCCCTCCCGAGGAGCCTGTGGCAAGGTGGACAAAAGGGTTAAATCAGAGGATCTGATTCATGATTCGCAATATACATATATATATATATACATACACACACATATATATATACATATATATATACATATATATATACACATTATACATGTATATATACACAACACATATATATATATACATATATATATATATATATACATATATATATATATACGGCAAATGCCTGGGTTCTGCCCGGACCCGCAACGACGACGGGCGACGCATCATCATCATCATCATCATCATCATCATCATCATCATCATCAATCATCAACCCTTATTGGAGATCTTCAATGCATGTAGAAGTTTAACGGGGGTGGGAGAATTAAACCCTTATTGGAGATCTTCAATGAATGTAGAAGTTTAACGGGGGTGGGAGAATTAAACCCTTATTGAAGATCTTCAATGAATGTAGAAGTTTAACGGGGGTGGGAGAATTAAACCCTTATTGAAGATCTTCAATGAATGTAGAAGTTTAACGGGGGTGGGAGAATTAAACCCTTATTGAAGATCTTCAATGAATGTAGAAGTTTAACGGGGGTGGGAGAATTAAACCCTTATTGAAGATCTTCAATGAATGTAGAAGTTTAACGGGGGTGGGAGAATTAAACCCTTATTGAAGATCTTCAGTGAATGTAGAAGTTTAACGGGGGTGGGAGAATTAAACCCTTATTGAAGATCTTCAGTGAATGTAGAAGTTTAACGGGGGTGGGAGAATTAAACCCTTATTGAAGATCTTCAATGAATGTAGAAGTTTAACGGGGGTGGGAGAATTAAACCCTTATTGAAGATCTTCAATGAATGTAGAAGTTTAACGGGGGTGGGAGAATTAAACCCTTATTGAAGATCTTCAATGAATGTAGAAGTTTAACGGGGGTGGGAGAATTAAACCCTTATTGAAGATCTTCAATGAATGTAGAAGTTTAACGGGGGTGGGAGAATTAAACCCTTATTGAAGATCTTCAATGAATGTAGAAGTTTAACGGGGTGGGAGAATTAAACCCTTATTGAAGATCTTCAATGAATGTAGAAGTTTAACGGGGGTGGGAGAATTAAACCCTTATTGAAGATCTTCAATGAATGTAGAAGTTTAACGGGGGTGGGAGAATTAAACCCTTATTGAAGATCTTCAATGAATGTAGAAGTTTAACGGGGGTGGGAGAATTAAACCCTTATTGAAGATCTTCAGTGAATGTAGAAGTTGAACGGGGGTGGGAGAATTAAACCCTTATTGAAGATCTTCAGTGAATGTAGAAGTTTAACGGGGGTGGAAGAATTAAACCCTTATTGAAGATCTTCAATGACTGTAGAAGTTTAACGGGGGTGGGAGAATTAAACCCTTATTGAAGATCTTCAATGAATGTAGAAGTTTAACGGGGGTGGGAGAATTAAACCCTTATTGAAGATCTTCAGTGAATGTAGAAGTTTAACGGCGGTGGGAGTTTTAATATTCCCTAATATCTTTGTTGATCTTCCCAATTGAATGTAAAGTTTAACGGGGGTTGGAGTTTAATATTCCCTAATACCGTTTTTGTTTTTCCCATAGGAATTTCGGGTGTTTTGACCCTTTTTTTTAAATAGTCCCTAGTACCTTTGCTGTTTTTCCCATAGGAATTTAAGGTTTAATGGGGGTGGGAGTTTAACATTCCCTAATATCTTTGTTGATCTTCCTAATTGAATGTTAAGTTTCACGATTTGAGAGTTTAAAATTTCCTAGTACCTTTTCTGTTTTTCTCATAGAAATTTCAAATATTATGTTGTTTTTGTTTTTCCCATAGGAATTTCGGGTGTTTTGACCCTTTTTTTAAAATAGTCCCTAGTACCTTTGCTGTTTTTCCCATAGGAATTACTGTAATTTGCAATATCATTTGTTTGTGAATTGTAGATATATACGCTGCAACGCCTGGGCAGAACCCAGGCGTTGCGCGTATATATATATATATATATATATATGTATGTATATATATATATGTATACATTATACACATACACATCCATGTATATTTCACGCGTGGTTACATATATGCATACAGAGTACTATGTACTGCGATGCACACCGTGGGTATCTATACACACATTAAACCATGAACCATCTGTAATAACTGATGACGTATGTATTGTATATACACTGCAAGAGGTGGTGCTCCATGTGGGTATTTTGGGGGCTGGCCCCTGTTTCACAGTTTCTGCACAGACGCGGAATGTCGCGCAGCGAAACGAGATTCCTTTGGTCGCTTCTGTGGAGATTGAGAAGACCATGGCAACTCATGGGGAATTTAGCAGCAATTCATGGCAGTCGGGAATCTGATTGTGATGATTCACTGGATTTTGGGGTATAGCCCTGCCATTTTGCTCCGTTGATGATCGTTTCCTTTATGCCATGACATGCCGTCGGAAGGCGATGGAGTTCTATGCAGTGACACGGAAGGCAGTTCACCTGTGCGCCCAGTCGACCCAGAGGGTTAACTGACGGATAACTATCTCAAAATTACCGGATTTTTCAGGGTGAAATATTCCAATTGACCCAGTGAACAGAATAGACAAGTGGTCTATAGTGGTCTCAAAAGTTGACGAACAACCTGAAAACCCATCAAGAATGTGATTTCGCCTGCTGCAGGATTCTGTTTCAAGGATAAACACACATCGAAAACCTCTCCGAGATATACTGGAAATGTGCTTTGCCTTGGAATCTGTGGCTAAAGGCTCAAAAACTCCATGGAATCAGTGGCAAGTTGATGTGAAATGCAAGTGACAGTCATTGTCAATTCATGTTTCCATGGTTTTCCACCTGAGGGTGTTGACGATTTTCCAGTCACTCTGGGGTTTTCAAATCTTTGGATTTGGGGTTCTCTCCAACTTGGGAATCCTATTCCATCCAAAAGGGTTCAAACCATCATTTTCCAATGCCAGAAATAGCTTATCCCCCATTTTGAGACAAACCCATATCATATTCTGTATAAAATGTACATTTATATATATATATGTATATATATATGTATATATATATATGTATATATATATGTATATATATATATGTATATATATAATATATAATATATATATATAATATAATTATTTATATATTCTATATATTATATATACACACAGTATCCATACGTAGACTTAAAAGCACCATTCTATTCCCATGATATCTTTGCTACCCATACCAAGACATTCCGCTGAAAATCCCGCAATCTCGGCTGTCCATGGCATTTCCAACTGGGGGTATCAAGGTGCCTTTCCGGACTTTCCGGAACTGCAAAGAGAGAATGGGTTTGAGTTGTTGGACTTGAACATATGCTACAGAATGAGAAGATATAGGCAAAGATAAACAGTTTATGTAAACGTACACGTAATTATGTGTACGATGACTTATATATACAGTGAGGGTAAAGGCTGGAGGCTCACTGGGAATTGATTTATAGTTGTCTTTTTTTATGGATGTTCATGTTTTCTGTGGTTTGCAGTACTTTTAGCTTATGGATCAGGCATGCAAGAGTGGTTGGGGGCTGATTTTGGCCTGTAGTTTGCCAAACAACTTTTGTGTAAAAAGAAATCGTTTTGTTGATGCGTTCCGGGTCCTAGATCTACAGCTAGTTTTTTTTTTTCCTTTAGAACTCTTGTTTCAACGGATACAGCCATTTCGGGCCACATGTATATAAAACATCGTGAATTCCAGGGATGTCACGCAGTGCGCCCTGAACATATCAATTTGAAGAGCACGCTATTTGGGGCCACACTTTGGTTGCAAATCGGCACCTTTTTTACCAAAGCGGCATCCACCGGCTTGATGGTACCGCATCCAATGAACGCTTATTAGGTCCCACCGCCAACCCACCCGCGTCAGCAACTACAACGCGTCTTTACTATAGCAATCATAGGTGACTCAAGATCTTAATCAAAGCAGTGACGTTTGAAGCAACATCTTCAGCGTAGCAATCATAGATGAAGCGGCATTCATTCAAACTTCTTACATTCCGCCAACCTCCCATCATTATTGGGATTGGATAGGAGGTTACAGCCCACCAATGTCTTTTTCCCAGTAAGGTCAATAAATAAAGTGGTCGACCCCCCTGATAACAATCCATAGTTTCGGAAAAAAATGGGTTGGTGAAACCTTCATATCCATTTCTTTTGCTGGCAAGAATATCACCTTCTTTGATTTTGGCTGTTTATGCCGGCAAAATCCCTCATTAAATCACCAAACCCACCTTTGACAAATAGTTTCCTCATACTCGATCCAATCTCCATGTTTGTTGGTTGCATATCAATTTTATCACAATTTTTTGTGGCCGATAAGAATACACATTTTTGTTGGTACCATCCCCCCAACTAAGACAGAGCCTGGGAGCAGCCAGTTTTTATAGGATTGCTGATTTCCAAGCCCCCTCTCATGGCAGGCTCTATGTTGGCTGAGGAGATGGTAACCGGTAGCCCTCATAAAATTAGGTACCTGGAATTACAATGGTTAGCCATCATTTTCCCTTTGAAAATTGCAATTTGATGGGTGTATCCCATTTCAGTCACCGCCCAAATCATATCAAGTTGGTTAGTTATATATACTGTATATATATATATATCCCATAGAGATATCCCCATAAAAAGTATCCCCATCATGGTTGGTCATCCCATGAAAAATCCCCATTTTGTCAAACCCCCATTGCCAGGTCCCTGACCTGCCGCCCCAAGCGGTGCCAACTTCGGCCCCGGAAGTGCAAGCGCAGCAAGCGGGGAACGAGCCGTTGGAACGCCTGGGGGATATGAGGCATTGCTGGGGTGGAGATATCGATGTAATATAGTATTTGTTGATATTAGGGCATTTTCTAAGTCATGGGGGTACCCCCAAACCATCCAAGTTATTGCGTATTATCAATGGGAACAGCTATGGTTCGGGGTACCCACGATCTGGAAGGAATGTAGAATAAGATCTATAATTGTATTACTGTAAGCTATAAGATCATATATGGAGATATATTATATGATTAATATCATTATATATTATATATGTAGAGTAGACACATATAGTAGAATTGATGATGATAGACAATAATGTAACTCAATACACCGTTTTTATTTCACAAACGATAGTACAGTATCAATTTATACAACATACTATAGGTATGTGTTTGCCATAGAACACAATCTAGCATCATTCAATCTAATGTAAGACAGTACTGTAGCATATTATATTAGAAGATATCCTATTAGAATACGTAATATGGCAGAATATAATGCGTTAAGATTTAGTATGATCTAAACATTTTACCATGATATAGCATGATGAAATATGACATGTAGTATGAATCGTTTTGATGCAATACACATAGAATATGACATAGTATAGCATAGTATGATATACCGATATACCATGATGTGATATTGAAACATGGTTACTGTATACATATATACATGTAGCTGGAACTAGGCTGACCATGATTTTTCCTTCTGTTTGTAAAGACAAATCGTCTCAACGATTGCATTTGACGTGGAGGAACAAGAACAATGCTCCGATTGGCTTCAGATGCGGGGTGTACCCATCGCTTTCACCTCCCAAAAAACATCCCCTGAAAAAAGGGGGTTTTCTTTGAACATGTGCCATCTGTTCTTTAAGCATTACATGTTGAAGAACAAGTATTGCTGAAAGGAACATCAACTTGATCGAAATACTATGAACCACTTGTTTCAGGACGGTTTTATGGAAGGATGGATAAACCATGATAAACCAATGATAAGCTGGGATGACCTGCCAACAACCATTGATTATCGGCCTTCTTCATCCACCCAAGGCCATCGGAGACGGCTTGGTCCAGGCCATGGGACCCCAATGGGTGTTGTGGCTTGGTGGGACCTGGACCAGTTATTTTTAACCAACCTAAGAAGCACCCATTGGCTGACACCGTCTTTTTCAACCAAGGTTGGGATTTCCCCAACATCCAAACACGTTTTTTCTTTTTTATATATATATATAACTATATATATTTCCAACATAAATCCCAAGTCTTCACCAACAAACAGCGAATTTTGGTACCCAACAAGAATTCAATGAATTACGCAAGAAAGTGTGGGAAGTACGATTTGGTGGACCTATCTGTCTATACGTTAGAATCCTCCGAGTATAGTCTAATCTAATCGAATCTAACATGATGTAATCTATTCAAAACAAATCTAAATATGGGAAAGCGGGTCGAAAGTCAACACCACCAACAGATACCAACAGTTAATCATTTGCCCAACAGAATGTTTGCGATGTCACTCAGGGGACTATGGTAACATGACATCGAGAATGACCATTCACCACTTGAGCATTCCCATTGGAGCCACCTGTGGAGCCATTTTTTGGGTCAGGTATCAAGCCGGCCAAGCTAGACCCCTGGGCTCGAGATCATTGAGTCGATCGAGGCGGTTTGTCCAAGAATAGGGGGCACCCTATTTTGTCCAGATCGAATGCTCAGATCTCCAGATTGAAGTTGCTAAACTTTAGGTCCCATGCCCATCCCATCCCCCATTCCTCCAGTTTTGGTTGGGGTTTCACCAGACCTGCGGACTACGAGCGCTACGGTGGATATGATCGTGGGAGACCAGGTGAGAAAGGTGGATGGTAATGCAATGGGAATATGGATCCAGCATAGAATTTTCATCACGATTTTAAATGGGGATTCACCAGTTATAGTTGGGAAGATGACTATGGATTATAACATATTATAACATATTATAACATATTACAACATATTATAACATATTATAACATATTATAACATATTATAACTTCATAAGCTATGACCGTCACCTATGAAATACATTTTTCAATGCCGTGAATTGTGAGGATGACGGATGTCAGACCTCCATAGATTCCGCGAAAACCGGGCGGGGCGCCTCGCCAGGTCGGAGGGATGTCTCCAGACCACGTGTCGCGCATATCCCCTGCGACTTGCTGCGAGTTGGAAAGTGGTCCAAATCGACATCGATGGAACATGATGGCCCCCAAGAACCCGAAAGAATCTGATAGATTTTGTCTGATTGGACATTTGTTACCCTCTGGTAAACTAACACAGCTATGGAAAATCACCAGTTTTAATGGGAAAATCCACTATAAATGGCCATTTTCAATAGCTATGTTAAATTACCAGAGGGTATCATTTGGATGTATTTCTCGGATTTCGTGTTAGCTTTCAAAGGTGTAGCAGTTTCTTGGTGGTAATTTAGTTGGCACTTTGTGATAGTCACAGCATCTTCGTGACTGAAATGGTACGGCAACACTTTCCTGTTTGGTGGCCTTTTCGACTTTTGATTCTTACCCTTTACATGACCTTTGGACATACATATCATATTCCACTGGGCCTAACTTCTGACAATCTAAATCGGTAATGACAATTCCTATTGAAACCGAGGGTACATATCATATTCACTACCAGAGGGTACAACCACTTGAAAAATATCCATTGATGTTACAATCCCCAGATTTCGTGCTAAATTTTATCACCCCGGTGGGATGGGTGGCTCAAAACCGGCCACCTTGAGGTCATTTGGAAGATGCAGTTCGAGAGATGCTTCCCGATCCGACACTTGGCCCTTGGAGATGCCTTTGGTACTGGGGTGACTAAAAGATGAGCCACAGCTGTGGTTGATGGGGTTTTAACATGTTTTAACATGTTTTAAGTATCATAGAATTGTATCTCAGACTGCTGAAAGTTCCCGTTCACTCATCACCAGTCACTCTCAGGATTTCCACCAAGCTTGGGATATATTCCATCGCTCTATTTTGGTTTTCCGGAAAAATCTTGTGGACACCCCAAAATCTCATGGTTTTCCTCATTTTCGGCCGCAAATTGGCGGCAAATCATCATTTTGAAGCAAGACACACAAAAGAATGGGGGCTTCTTGTTGCTTCTGAAGCACATGTCCAGCCTTTCAGCCGGGTTTTCTGATGTTTTCTCCAGGAAAAGTGGACATAAGAATTGCCGAGCCGATGGCACCTTTGATGGTCTCTATGTGGATTGCACCTTCGGTCGAGGACCTGGGGATGTGACATCTCCGGATTATGAAATGACCACAGAAACAAAAGTTCCTGGGATTCTACGTTTATATCTTTTTTTGGGGGGTTGCTATATATGATATTATATGATAATGTTCAACTATGTCTAATGTATTGTTTAACACTATATATATATATATACATACACATACACTGTATATACATAATATAATACATAATATAATATATATATATATGCCAACTGTTGCCAACGAAATTTCCGACCGCCGGGTTGTCGACCATCCCCTTGGTGCCAGGAGGTCACACGGAGCACATCTTGAGCCGACTCTCGGGCTCCGGGCGACTCATCGCCTTCGATGTGGAGCCGCTGGGTACGGGGTGATGATCCCAGCAATGGAAATAGCCTCAGAATGGATGTTTCATGATGTTTCCAGGGGAACATCACCTATAAATATCTATAAAATTCTATAAATAACAATAAATGCCGCACTTTCCATTGGCATGTTTGATTACCACAGGAAAAAATCCTAACATCACAAACCAGTTGGGTATAGGTCGAGCATGGAAGCCCTGGAATTTTGGTGTCCGAGGACGTTATCCAAGTTGTGGAGTTCTACCCCGAAGACCCCACTAGCAAAGCCCGCATGGAATGTACTTATTGGATCTATGTTAATGAACTAGGAACCCAACTCTTGGGGTTTAGTTGGGGCCCGTGTCAAAATCTGGATATCCCATGCTGTATCATCATTCTCCCCATACACCAAACATGCCACTTTGGGGTCTTCCCATTTTACGGCAAACCTCATACCAAATCGAATGGTGTTTGACAATACATCTCATTGGATTCCAAAAAGTGTCACGAGCACATCCCCCAACAAATCCGCAACATGCACGCAAAAATGCGAGAGTTTTGGGGGGTATATCCCCAACAAATACGGAAAATCCATGAAAATCCTTGGGTTTATACCCCAATTCTTCAGCAGGATCCCGAGGCAGTAGCCGTGGCCCGGCAACTGGAAGCCAGGGACCGCGCTGGGAAGATTTGGAACCAAAGATGGGGAGCTGAAATGATTGGTGGAAAAACGGGACTGAAATGGTGAGAAGTTTTGGTGACTGCTTCTGTAAGTATTTGCTTGGTGTGTTTGCTATGATTTTGTTCAAATATGTTCAAATTATTTCAGTATTTCACCTTGATCGACAATACAAGTTTTCAAAACAGGATGAACATTTAAATAGGGGGGGATCTCCAAGCAACAATGGATGGAGACTTTCCATCGTCTTTGGCTGTGCAAGTGCACTTGCATCACTTGCACCTCAGATTTGGGGATTGGCGGCGGCATTGGCTTTGAAGTCTTCTTAGTCTGGAAATGTGGCATGAATCTAGCCAGTGGCTGGTGGTTTCATGATAAATTTCTTCGTTTCCATTATATACTTGAAATGGGAGGATGATCGAGATCGATTTTCACATTTTTGGTCTGGCTCAACCACCAAATAGATGATTTTACTGTTTGGCCAATGAGTGTTGGTTTGGACTCTACGCTTCCTTGATTTGTTCACATCCCATGAAACCGTCCAGCAGCCACACAGCCTTGGCAGGACCCTCGTTTTCGAATCGCCCACCGACCCTTCTCGGAACTGCGGGAAGAACTGCGCGGGGTCCAAATCGCACCTTGGCACATTTTGTTGGTCCAAAAATGGGACAGTTTAGCACTTTATGCCCAGATGATGGCAGTTTTCATGAAGTGATAAGCCATCGGATTTTGGGGTATCCTATTTTCCGGCACCCCCCTGGAGACTGAGAAATGATCCGCTGGGATCGATATCCAAGTCTGCTTCAGGGTGGCTCTCAAACCTGACCTGCTGCCATCAGTGTCAGAATAAAGTGAACAGTGGAGCAGAACCTGACTTCGGAATGGTTTCGGTGTTGCGAGAACTGATCTTTTGGAATAAGCTGAATGGACTTCTTGCATCTTCTTGCCTCAGGCAGAGCACGTTGAATCAGAAAGGTCACAAGGGTTCCACCCAGGTGATATGGGCTGAACTCGCTTAGAGAACAACCCCCAAAATCGGAGTACTAAAGCCCAATATTGGCTCATATTTCTATACGGTATATGGTAAAAAACCATGGAATCCTCATCATTTTCCCATTTTCATCAAATATACGTATATATATATATATATACGTATATTCTGAAACTCCCACAGTTTTGTATCCACTTTTCACGTCCCTGTCAGGTTGTCTTACCAAGGTGCTGGCATGTTCATGTGACCTGCTTTAACATGTTCTTGCCGAAACTATTCGGCTCTATCAATCACAGCGGAGGGCTGTGGATGCGGACATTGAGCCTGATGGAAAAGTGACGGGGTCACTTAGGCGCGGGGCTGCGGTGTGAGCGAGGCCGCTTTCACATTGGCAGCGGAGCCTGCGGGCATACGCTGAAAGAGAAGTTTCAGAAGGAGATCCAGGAGGACAAGGTCTACTACCAGGTGAGGGCACCAGGTTCTTAGAGAAAAACCAGGCGTCTGAGGCGAGATGCCATCGGAGGCTGAAGGTCAGCCGAGTGCTTCAAGTGGAGATGAGAAGACAAGCAACTTGTGGAACTTGTTGCCCAGTTTTGATCCGAGTACGGACAATGCAAAGGAGTATGGTGACAAAGTTCGGTTTTTGTGGGGAATTTGTCCTCCCAAAGACCGTGGGATGTTGGCGCCGAGGTTGGCGTTGCTGTGCAAAGGCACGGCCTGGAGCCAGGTCAGGGCTATCTCCTCGGAGAAACTGACCAACCCAGACTTGGGATACAAGGCATTGCTGAAAGCCTTGGAGACGTGGGAAGACTCAGAGGAGCTGCAGACCTATGAAAAATTTGAACGAGCCTTTTACCGGGTGGTTCAAAAGGGCGATGAGAGTGCTCTGAGCTTCGTCAACCGCATCAACGTGGCCTTTGAGGAGGTTGGTGGTGAAACTACGGTCCGACAAGTGCGAGCATTTGTGATGCTGCGCCAGTCGGCGCTTGGAAGCGAAGACAAAAAACGTGTAGTGGCAATGGCTGGTGGCTATGAGCCGGAGAAGGTGGAGGCAGCCATGCGGTCGCTTTCGACCAAAGTGCTTGGAGCTGGAGACACTGTCAAGAAGAAGATCTACCCGGCCAATCTTGTGGAGGATGACACCGAAGAGACTAACTTTATGGCAGAGGAGGAGATGGAGGAAGATCAAGTGCTTGCAGTACTTTTGGAAGAAGGAGATGAGACGGCCCTTCTGATCCAAGAGTTTGAGGATCAAGTGATCCATGTATGTCAGGATGCTCCGGAGTTGGCGATGGCCTTTTCCACCTACCAGGAGGCACGTCAGAAACTTCGAGAAAAAGCTCGCAGCCGTGGGTTCTGGCCTGTGAAAGGCTCGAAGGGCAAAGGCAAGGTGAAGAAGAAAGGAAAAGGTGGCCGTCGCTACCAGAGTCTTGCAGAAAGAATTGCAGGTTCAACCTGCCGCATTTGCGGCATGCGCGGTCACTGGAAAGATGAGTGCCCCCAAAGGGATCGAGCTTCAAACACTGCAGACGCCAATGTGATCCTGTCTGAGGAGCCCGAGATCTCCGCAGAGGTGATGGACACCCTGCCCGATGGTGTGTTTGGCAACTGGCAGGTGGGGAGTTTCCAAAATTCAGGTCGTCATTATCAGTCCTGTTGGGGTCCACCCGAGTCCCCAAGTGATAACGAAGAATTCAGTGAGTTTTGTTCCCATGATTTGATTTTGCATGTTGATGGTTTTCCCAAAGGGAAGGATCCATTGCACCAACAGGGTCAAAGTAGGTTTCCCAATTTCAAGAAAAACTTTCGCCGCGCATGTGAGACTTGTTTTGGAGTCAATGGCAGGTCCCCTGAACAGTCTGAGAAATTTAGGCAGCCTCTTTTAGGAGACCAAGGAACCGGTATCATTGATACTGGTGCAAGCAAGTCTGTCATCGGCGAAAAGAGAGTGAATGCCTTGCTTTCCACTTTGAAGTCCATCCATCGAGAAAGTGTCAAGTGGCAGGAATCTGAAACTGTGTTTCGTTTTGGGAACAATGGTTGTTTGAAGAGTGTTGGTGCGTTGTTTATTCCTTTTGGAAAACGATGGATGAAAGTGGAAGTGGTTCAAGGGATGACGCCGTTTTTGCTGTCAAACTCGTTTCTGCATGCTCTTGGCGCTGATGTGATGGTCAGCCGTTCAAGTTTGAGAGTTGCAGGTTGGAGGTCTGAGGTGAAACTTCAAAGAAATGCCAAGGGTTTATTCACTGTGAGATTGACAGATTTAATTGAAGCGGCAAGTTTGAATACAAACTCAGTGGAAACCGAGGAAGTCATCACTTTGGCAAGTAGTTGTAACCAATCTCAAAATAGGGGAGTTTATTGCCAGCAGCAGCAACACCAGCATCAGCAGCCCAAAGTTCAGACGTCGACTACGTCAGCTGCGACTTCCTTTGCTGCAGTGGCTCAACTCCAAGTTCAGAGCAGAAGCAAGTCCTGTGTTGATCAAGGTGTCAACGTCGCTCAACGTTGCCATGGCGATGCCCAACACCAAGATGATGGCAGCAGCAGGCCCTTTTCCCGGTCTGGGATCCATGGCCTTGGATGCAGTCCTGGATGGAGAGGTCGATCCGAGCTTGGGGTTCGAGCATCGTCAGATGCCGGAGATCAAGACAAAAAGGCCCCCAGGGGTGATGACTCTGCGAGAATGGGGGCAGTTGACCTTTCCCGAGGGCAAATGGAAGAAGCACACCTTCTACCAGACCTACATGGAGGACAATGCCTACGTGAAGTACATGAAGGAACACAAGAAGTTGGTGTCACCTTGGGCACTGAGCTTCCAGTCCTATGTCGTGGCAATGCAAAAGATGGAAGAGGAGTGCTCGGAGAGCTTTTACCGGGAGTATGCTCGCCAATGGATGAACACCATGAGTGCTCAAGAGGTTCCGACCGTGCAGAAGGGACCGGAGTGGGAGCTGCTGGCGGATGCCAGCCCAACAAATGGCAGGAGTTCCAAGGCGAATCAGAAGCGCCCCATGGAATCCGAGGTGAGCAAAATGAGCACCGATGTGGAGAACATGGACGAGAAGCTGACCCGCATGGCGATTCTTCAACGAGAGCTGGACAAGATCAAGCAGGAGATGAACCAAGGCTGAGTACGGCAAAAGTTGAACCTCCAGTAGTGTCAGCTTCGGCTTTGAGTGATGAGTTGATAGCAAAGATAGAAGTGTCAATGAATGCGATTGAGGCGGAGCTGACACAACTGAAGGCTATGTGGCCAACTTGTGGCAAGCCGGAAAAGCGATCACCTTTCAAGTTGGATCTCCTGGAGATTTACTGTGATGAAGATTCCCAAATTACAGAGCAAGCCCAGAAGTTGGGGCTTAAAGCCAGGAGATTCACGTTTGCCGATGGTGATCTTTCGACTTATGAAGGCAGGAGTGCCTTGTGGAAAATCCTGGAGGAAGAGAGACCTCGTGAAGTGTGGATGGCTCCGGAGTGCAAGTACTGGGGCAACTACAGCAGACGCAATATGGGCAGAGGCAACAGCACAGCAAACAAAATATTGGTTGGTAGGGATCAACAACGGGTTCATTTGCGGTTGTGTAATGATGTTTATTGGTTTCAGATGGGTAATGGTGGTCATTTTCATTTGGAGCAGCCACAGGGATCAGAGGCAATCTATCAGCCAGAAATGAAAGACGTGTTGTTTGGGACCCTCTGCACAACGTTTGATATGTGTGAAGTTGGAAAACTGCTTTCCCCACATGTGATGAAACGTACGTATGGAAACAACTTCCTACGTAAACGGACAAACGTCTACACTTCCTCGAGGATTTTCCATGAAGCATTCGATCATCGAATGTGTCCCGGACATCACCAGCATGTTCCAATAGCTGGAAAAATTCGACACCTAGGGCGCTGGATTTCGTTATCGGAATATGCTGCTCGATACACCACTGGTTTTGGAAGAAATGTTGCCAGATATGTTGCTTGTCGTTTTCTTGAACGGCCTTTGATTTGGGATGAGCTTTTGGTCGATGGTGGTTCTGATGTTTTTGTTGAAGAAGTGGTGCAAAAGAAACGAGCAGCTGCGGAAAGCAGCAGTGCCGAGCCCGACAGTTCCAATGCCGCCAAGCGTCTAAGGTACGGTGGTAAACAAACTCCTATGGGAGACCATGAGTGCGCAACTGGGGAATATTGGGATGGAATTTTCAAGAAAATTGAACCCATGGTTCCTCGGGTTGGAAAAAGGGTGTTGGAAAATGAGAACATTTTGAGTCAGATACAGAAGGGTGCCCCTCAATTGAAGATTCAACGGGTTGAGGCATGTAGGGGTACGGAGAGACTGAGAGTTCCAAGCCCTGACATCGACCCTGCTTTAGTTCCGATGCGGCTCACGGTCATCAAGGATCGGGCCTCTGGGAAAGCATTGGTGCTTGGACCAGCGGAAGAGTGGTCAACGTTGCCCAAACGGCAACAGATCAGAAAAGGGAAACCGGCGAGGGTGAGTCTCACCATCTTTGGACATCGTAAGTCAGAGACTGATGATGTAGGAGCCCCAGATGGTGTTGTAAGTGATGAAGAGCAGAAGGGTGGATTGGATGTTGGGATTTTGGGTCATGCCCCCCCCAAGAATGTACCTGTGCATGGCCCGGGGTTCAGAGACTTGTCCAAAGATGAACAGGCTCAGATTCGACGGCTTCACCACAATTTGGGACATCCGAGTCCCCTAAAGTTGGCAAATTTCCTGAAAGAGAGGCATTCTGATTCTGCACTGGTTCAAGGTGCCTTGGATTTTCAGTGTGATAGCTGCGCTGAGACCAAGTCCGGCCCTGATGTGTCACGTCCGGCAACCATCCATGAAAACCTGGGATTCAATCAAGTTGTAGGCATGGACACAGCTACATGGACTAGTCAGGCAGGAAAGAGGTTTCAGTTTTCTCATATCATTGATGAGGGTACTTTGTTTCATGTTGGGGCCCCTGTCATAAGTGCTGATGCTGAATCTCAGATGCGGATTTTTGAGCGCCATTGGATGTTGTGGGCTGGACCCCCTCAAACAATATATGTCGATCCAGGCACTGAGTACACAGCTGGTACATGGCAGGATCGGATGCAGAGTTTGGATGTTCATGTCAAGGTGAGTGCCAGTGAAGCTCATTGGCAGCTTGGTAGGGTAGAAATCCATGGCTCGATCGTCAAGAAGATGTTGAGTAGGATGGATTTGGAGAAGCCAATTCAGACTTCAGTGGAATTTGAGAGGGCTTTGACTCAGGCTTTCAATGCGAAGAACAGTTTGTCCCGAGTAAAGGGATATTCTCCCGAGCAAGCTGTCTTAGGAGCTGCGCGTCATTTGCCAGGTTCTGTAGTGTCCAGTCAAGGCCTTAGCAGTCTCACACTTGCTGAAGGAAATGGCCCTGAAAGCGAAGCCTTTCGGGAAAACCTTGAGCGCAGAAGCTGTGCTCGTAGGGCCTTTATTGACGCTGATAATTCGTCAAGCCTGAGAAGAGCGCTTCTTAGGCGCACCAGACCAGTTCGAGGTCCGTATGAAGTTGGAGATTTGGTGTTGTATTGGCGTAGAAAAGGTGCCAATATGCGCCGAGATCGTGGTCGCTGGTATGAGCCAGCAAGTGTTGTGGCCATAGAAGGAACTCGAAATGTCTGGATGAATCATGCTGGCAAATTAGCACGGGCAAGTCCAGAACAGTTGAGACCTGCAAGCTTCCGGGAGTGGAAACTTGCCAGAGAACTGGAACTCGAGTCTGGAGTGGAGAAGAAGGTTTTTCAACAGCCTTTGAGAGATGGTGGTTTTGTTGATTTGGAAGAAGAAGGTATTCCTGATGCGGATGGTGAATCAGAACCATATGAGCCGTCTGTTGGTGAACCAGAAGGAGAGGTTTCTGTTCCACAATCCAATGCCTCTCCACAAGAGGAAATAGCGTCAGAGATACCACTGAGTGAGGAAGAACCAGACTATGTCCGAGTTCCGGTGCCAGCTGATTCGAGTGCGTCGGAAATGGACTCACCGAAAAATGCTTCAGAACATGACACGGCTGATTTGATTTTGTTTGGGGATGATGTCAACTTTGATTTGGGTGATGGTCCGAACCAGCTTTGGGAACTTGAGATTCCGGTAGAAGCGCATGAAGAAATGGCCCTATTCACAACTGGTACTGCAGATGAAAGTGTGTTGTTGGTTTCAAATGCCAAGAAGAAACGTGTAGAGGTTCGTTTGAGTGATTTGAGCAGTGCAGACCAGTTGCGGATGGCAGTGGCGAAGCATAAAGAGCTGGGAGCCTGGCTAAAGCATTCGACTGTCAAAAAGGTGTCACAGGGTAAAATCCCTCCAGAGGCCATTATGCGGTGCCGTTGGCTTCTTACCTGGAAAGCTGCTTCTTCGGATGATGCCCCAGAAGATGTGAGTGATGGAAAACGAGCAAAGGCTCGATTGATTGTTGTTGGTTTTGAAGACCCTGGGGTAGGGGTGATTCCAAATGATTCACCAACTTTGACAAAAGATGGTAGGCAGTTGGTGGTGCAACAAGTTAGCAGCAACAGGTGGGAGTTGATTTCATTTGATATCTCAACGGCCTTTTTACAAGGTGAAGGAGATGGCCGATTGCTTGGATTGCATCCAACACCTGAAATGGTCGAAGCGTTGGGCCTAGGACCAGAGGACCAGTGTCAGTTGGTTGGTAGTGCTTATGGTAGGGTTGATGCTCCTTATTTGTGGTTTTGCAAGTTTCGTGATGTGATGGTGGAGGAAGGTTTTGTTCAGTGTCCTTTAGATCCTTGTGTTTTCACTTTGGTTTCAAAAGATGCCTCTGGTCAAACAAAGGTTCATGGCTCGGTTGGTATCCATGTTGATGACGGCATTGGTGGCGGGGATGAAAAATTTCAAGCTGCGTTGGAAAGAATTCGTAAGCGCTTCAAGTTTGGCTCTTTCGAGAAAAGGGATTTCACTTTTACAGGAATCAGATTCCGTCAATGGGATGACTTCAGTGTGGAATATGATCAGGTAGAGTATATTGAGAAGATTCGACCCATAGAGATACCAAAGGTCCGGAGGGGACAATTGGAGTCACCTCTCACTCCTGGTGAAGTCACTCAGCTTCGGAGTCTGACCGGTGCTTTACAGTACGCCGCAGTCCATACCCGTCCTGACCTTGCCGCAAAAATTGGGGAGGTCCAGTCAAGAGTACAGAAGGCCACTGTAGAGGAGATGGTTTTTGCGAACCGAATTTTGCACGAGGCTAAAAGCCATCCGGTGTCCCTAATGGCTCTCCCTATTAGGCCTTCACAGGTCACCTTTTGTGCATTCTCAGATGCATCGTTCTTGTCTGGCAAAGAAAAATATGCACATCAAGGTGGTTTGATCTTTGTAACCACCCCAGAACTGTTGGAGAACAAACGAGCTGTGATTTCTCCTGTAGCTTGGATGAGCAAAAAGATACACCGGGTTATTCGGAGTACCCTGGGAGCAGAAGCTGTTGCTTTGAGTGGAAATGTTGACAGGCTTTTATGGCTGAGAGTGTTTTGGCAATGGTTGTTGGACCCAACAGTGGAATGGGGTTCCCCGGAAAAAGTTTTGCAAGCGGCTCGGAAGGCAGCACTTGTCACAGATTGTAAAAGTGCTTACGACCTGTTGACAAAGACAGCGGTGCCTCAGTGTGAAGAGCATCGGACAACAATAGAGTGTTTGCTCATTCGTGAGCGCCTTCAAGCCAATTGCATGGTGCGATGGGTGACCTCCAATGCTCAACTAGCAGACTGTTTAACGAAGAGCATGGATGCGAGTGTTTTGCGGCAGTGCCTCAAGAGTGGTAGGTACTCTTTGTTTGACGAGGGTAGAATTTTACAGCAGCGGCCTGATAAGAGGCAGCGTTTGAAGTGGGCCAAGGAGGTGACCTCTGGACAAGAAAAACCAGAGACTGTTTTGAAATGTACAGAAGATGAAAGTGATTCATGGGAACAAGATTCTCAGGGACAGGTCGTCCGTGTTCACCGGATACCGCGGACACAACTATTCTCTCCCATAGGGATTCTGGATTGCCCGGTTGATCTTAGAAGGTTGGGTGTGGAGAGAGTTACTTGTGGACGTTTTGCAAATGGTAAATCCTGGTGCAACAAGGATTTTTGGCCTGGTACACGTGGACATGCCAAAATGCAGCAACCATGGATTGGTAAGACAATTTTTAAAATAAGGGGTGTCTGAAACTCCCACAGTTTTGTATCCACTTTTCACGTCCCTGTCAGGTTGTCTTACCAAGGTGCTGGCATGTTCATGTGACCTGCTTTAACATGTTCTTGCCGAAACTATTCGGCTCTATCAATCACAGCGGAGGGCTGTGGATGCGGACATTGAGCCTGATGGAAAAGTGACGGGGTCACTTAGGCGCGGGGCTGCGGTGTGAGCGAGGCCGCTTTCACAGTATATATATATATGTATATATATATATTACATATATATATATATATATATGTATGTATGTATATATATATATATACACATATTTTAATGCATGTAAAACTATATATTATCCATGCACCCACTCTTCTGGAGTACCTCTGGTCATTCGCAGCGAGGATGGCCTTTTGGTCGATTTGGGTGTTTCCAGTCCTCAGCTGGATGATCGTCATCGTGGCTTCGGCGTCAACGAGGTGACCCGTGGTCCATTTCGTTTGCTGTGCCATGGAACTGAAAGATACTCCTTGGTTTTTAAAGATAGCCATGGGAAATTCCCCATTTGTAGATGATTTATTATGATTTATGATGATCTACCGAACTTAAAAATGGTGATTACCCAGCTCGCCGTTAACCAGAGGGTAGATCATCATTCTTGTAGAGGTTTCAACCATCATGTCATAGTCATAGCGGTCATAGCATGACTGGAGATGTCACCAATTGGAGGGAACCATATCTGCTGTGGTGGACATCTCCAGGACTCGGAGTTGGACCTTCGGATGAATCAGCAAGTTGGCATCCCGGCGTGGCAATGGCTGCAGCAGTGCACGACTGAGGATCGTTTGTGGGAGATATTACCAGAAATGGTCAAGGGTAGGGGAAAATCATAGGTAGTTCATGGGTCAAATTTAAAGACATTTGGATGGGACTATCTCGCGCTCAGGTCACTTTTCGTAAACTTAAAAACATGCTGGATATCCAAGATTTGCTATCTTGTATGGTCATTTGGAGATTCCTGGAGGGGATTGGAAAGCTTTTCCATTTTGGAATCTGATTCAACCAGCATCCAGCAACCATCCGCCGGAGGAGCTGGCATGGGTCATCCGCGAATACGGCGAGGATGGTGATCCAGTGATGGCGGACCGCATCGCTGAGGTGGTGATGATGTACGTGGAAAAGAGGCGGAAAGCTTTGGCGCTTTGGGGCATCCCAGGGTATGGGATACATGATTTAAACATATTTAAACAGGTAAAAAGTGAGGGTTTAGATCATAAACAATATATATATATATTTGTATATTGATTAACTAAGTGGGGATGGCGAGGATATAATATATATATATATATACACATCTCTCTCTCTCTCTATGCAATGTATATATGTATATGTACATATATGTCATTTATATAGTATTATGTTTATAATTTAATACTATATAAAATGTATTTTACATGGGGAAAAATTAGGTACTTCAATAAACACACAAAGATCACAAATACTATGGGGCCATTGCCTTTGATAGGATGGGATGTCCCCTCTGTCCAGAAGAGACTCTCCTAAATGGTTGCTGAGCAATCATGAAGTTTCATATCCTAAAAAGCCATCATCGCAAGTTTCTTGATCTTCCAGAAGAGTAGAACAGTCAAACTTCCAACAAAAACTTGCTGGCGTATGCTGGTGTATCTTTTTTGGGAGACCCCTATATAATCTATATAGATATCATCCTGCTGACATTTTCTGGATCCTCGCATCACCAGGAAGCGCATGAAGCAGCCAATGGTTCGAAGCACCAGAGAGCTGGGAGATTACGTGAAGGTTGGCTCCTGGAAAAACTGTTGGGATGTGAAGGTTGGCTCCCAAAAATTCGCAGAAAGCGATCACTTCACCCGCAAGAAATACGGTGTGGCCAAGGGTGAGAAAGCCTTCCAAGGACGCCTCGGATCCGACAGGGTTGACTGGGACAGTTTCACACCCTATACGACAAGTGACCATCATGCATATGCCATCGCATGCCATCGCATTGCCCAGATTGCCAAGCAGAACTTCGATGAGAGAGGACAGCACCCAGTGAACTTGTTGCAACATGCCGGGGGTTCGGTGGGTATAACTTCATCTTTTGGCACCACTTGGTCTCCAAAATTTTCTTCTTCAGTCTTCAACGATTTTGGTTCAAAACAACAACAAAACCAAACATATGGGGTTGTCTGAAAATGATGATACCCCAATGTCTATTTTAATGGTAACATGTTCAAAAACCATTGGATTGGGGGTTAGCCTATTTTCAGAGAAATATGCCAAAACTAACCCAACGTCCGCAGTTTTTTTTTCACAGCTGCCAAGGCAAAGCTGACGTTCCAAGCGCTGCGGATGTTTTTGAACCAAGAGATGCAACAGCTGGATGCTCTCCTGGAGGCAGCCTGTGAATCGCTGCTCGGTCACCAGTGATGTCGGATGAGTGATGGCTTTATTAATCTGTAAATCGTATCTTATGTTTAATAGTTTTATATATATATGATTATATATGACTATGACTCAAGTACCTAAGTCTAATTGTATATACGCACTTATTTAATTACACCCATTTGTCATTACGTATGTACCGTATATATATATATGTATATATATATATATATACACAAACGTACTTATATACACAAACGTACTTATATACATAACAATACATATATATATATACTTATATGTATACATACAATTACATATATACCTCTAGGATCCTGTAGGATTATATATACACATATTTCTACACACAAATGCATGGGGAACTACCCCAAAACAGCCAGACAGTTCAGGTTGGTGAATTTATGATACCTGAGCCAGCTAGAGGGACAATGATCCAGGTCCTGTCAGCTAGGTAAAGTCCATATAATCTCGCCTTACAACCGGGGGGTCGATTACCTTTCCAGATGACTGGCCCCAACCAGGTTGGTGAACGGGGGGAAGTGTGTGGTCATCACTTTCAAGAAGAAGGAATGCGAAGCTGTAGTGAAACTCGTCTCGCAGAGCCAGGTTCCGGGTATGTGTCTACTTAATTATAGTTTTATTTATATATTTATATGTGTATATATATATATATATCTATATATATATATTAATATATATATATATATATCTATTTATATTTATTTATTTATTTATTTATTTATTTATGTATTTATTTATTTAACCAATATTTTCTGATACCCCTCGTACTGGTTTTACATGATTTTATGAGGGTCAAAAAAGAACATGGAGAGCCTGCTGAGGTATATCTGTTAACCTGTGAACCACCCGCACAGCTTGTTTTTGGCTTGCTTTTATACATTTCATTACATGGCAAGATGATACACACCATATACCATGAACTGCTATGGTATACCATATAGTATATATAAACTATTATCTGATTTATGACTCTTATGTCATATAATATCCATCTTAATCTTCTTGCTTGATTTTACTATAACTAACCTAGGTAGTATGCTTGGTTCCACCATCACCGGACTGTACCTCCACTTAGGAAATTTGTCCGACAGAACGAGGAACCTCTACTGCGACGCGACGCCAACACGAGTAAGGCTAGATGGCTCGAGAGTCTTGGCGACACCGGATGCAGTCCTGGTATGGATATGGGTCAACTCTCAAGATCAAGGGAACTGTAGATTTTATTTTTTTAAAGTATGAACCATCCATAACCATCCAATTTTCTGGGTACCCCATTTCGACCCATTGCCTTTGTCCAGTTTGGGTTTGGTCAGTGTGGTCCTTCATTTGTCCCCGAAGAAAACATCCAGTTGGACATCCGAAACCATCCGCGATATTTCCTGCCGGACATGGCCATCAAATTTGCTTTAGCTTTATAGGAGGTGATACTACCTGTTTGTTTTTTGGGATTCTCATCATGCAGCATGGGAATCCTCCCAAATTCAAACACCTTTTCAAGGGATGATCAGAATCAATAAAAAACTGTTGGTTTTGAAACCATCATCCCCTTTTGGATCACCCCTTTTTCATCCAGGATTTTGAACCCATCAATTTGCAGCTTCTTCCTGGACCCCAGGCTCTACCCTTTGATGGCCCGTGACAGCGAGTGGTCCGTCACCTTTGCGAGGAACCCCATTCGACCACGAGATGAAGATATCAAGGTGCTGCGACCCAGGGTACTTGGCAACCCCCAAAAGGATAGAAAAGTCCGGTGAAAATTGTGGTAAACGCCTCTTCTATCTTTTCTTGGAGTTGCTATAACCTCTGTTAAACACTCTGTTAAAACCATGTTAAACCAGTAATGGAAAAACCATCTCAATCTATTTTGGGGACGAATGAATCCGCAAAATCCGGACATCAGGACATCGATTGAACAAATGCAGCAATTACACATCGCAAACTTCAACGGAAACCCCTGGAATCAGGGGAATACATGGAGTATCGGCATGTCACCACGATGTGCATTGTGGTGCTATCGTGGTCTGACCCCCTGAAACATGTTTCATTTCGCGAGCTAACTGAGTAACCGGGACACGAATCGAAGGTATTTGCGGTTTACCCAAGGTCAAAAACATGCTCTTATCGGAAAATATGTATTGGAAGTTAGAGCGCCTGAAATCTCACTTTTCGATGTTTGGGTGCCTTCCATCCTCACATCATCAGATCGCATGCTCCCAAGTGACATCGCATGGGTGGATTGTGGTCGACATGGGCAAACAATCAGTGAGTTCCCGATGAAATGAGTGGATAAAGACTCCCAGTAGTCGCTCTGATCGCGTTGATCTCTGTTGATTCACCAAATTGGAAGTCTAACATATCTGGAGATCCTGCTCTTGACAGTCTCAATGGTGAAGCCTGTAACAAACGGTTTCTCCAATAATTTGATCTTGAAATTTCTGTTGGTGACTTACATCCATAGAACTGGGTAGAGGTTTTCATGATCGCAGCCTGCAACCAACTCGGGGCTGCCAAGCACATCTTTTTGTGACTTCCTGTCTTAAGATGAGACTATCCATCAGCAGTTTCAAAAGCCCCAGCTGGTTGAATGTTATAAGGGGGCGAATATCATATCCATATATATATATATCCATAATATATTGGGAAATATCATGACAGGGAAATCCCATTGGGTGCTTGTGCTAATAATTTTTTCATCGTCCCTGCAGCGAAGTCCAGGAGAACCCACGGACGCGATCTGCCATCGTCCATGTCTTGAAAAAGAACAACAGGCCCAGAGGGTCATCCAGTCATCCATGAGGTATCGTAGTATCGGGGGTTATAACATGTTATAACCCAGTGATAAATGGAATAAACCAGGAATAAACCAGTTTTACTAAACAAACTGACTAACCATCATCCATTTTACAGACTATTTACTGTGCGATCCGTGGGATGATTCTCGAACTGGTGTCCATTCTCACTACATCTGCAATCGCAGATGGCCAGGAAATCTTAATTTCGGATGGGGAAAATATCAGATTGACAGGAACGAATTATCAATATGGGAAATTCTCGATTGGCAGGTTTGATCAGCAGATAAGGGCCTAATTTATTGGGATTATATATTATGATACCGGGAAGGGATTACTCGGATACACTTGGTGATGGAGCACAAAATGGCAAGATGCTCAGTGGACACTTGGGTATTGGGGGTAATCCCGTAAACCCAATGCCCAACCGCAAGTGGGTCCGGTTTGAAAGCTGTCCTGTGTTTCTTCTGTTTCTGGGCTTACCATCCTCTGAACTGAGTTGATCAAACCGCATGATTTGATAATTGGCACTGCACTCCAGCCACGTTGACATTGCTCTCTTTGGACTGCAAACAGTTCCCAAACTACAGGTCCAAAGAAAAGGGTAGACTCTGGTATAGTCTACAGCAGTGGACTTTCCCATGGACTTTCCCATGGATTTTCCCTGGTTGGTGCCGATCAGCACAGGATCCAGCCGAAGATTAGCCTCGAGGAAGGAACTTCGCCGCGACCCGCTCAGGCGGGACGGAAAGAATCAGAAATCCCAAGATGGTGGTGACCTGGTGGGAAGAAGGTGTTTCCCTTCTCAATCAATGATAGGCAAGGGCACAAAGGTGTTGAGTGGACAAAGAATTGGTAAAGAAAAACACCACGTAACTCCACGTTTGAATGACAGGAACGCTACAAGAAACCCGACTATGTGCCTATCTTCAAAGGTGCTGCATCTCGCCGGGTGATGTTGGAGATCTTTCTGGGTTGGGAGGATTTAAGGCTATGCTCTTCCGCCGTTGGGAATTAGAGGGAATATTAAAGTCATCTATGTCAGCATATATATATATATATACTACTATTTACACAGACACAGTCAGTACAGATAATGATCTAGAATGATCTAGAGATGTATAGGCAGATACGCAGGTACATTTTTCGAATACAGTTGGATGAACCTGCGCATCTCGAGGATTCGTGTTTTTGCATTGTTTACTTGCTGGTTTTTCATCATGGCTAGCTGGGAATCCATGGGAATCCACCGAAAAAAATGGAGCTGAAACAATTTTTAAAACATCTGTGAATGGTGTCTTGTTTAAAACAACCTGGTTTGGTAAGAGACTATGCTATAATCATTCGGTTGTGTTTGCATTGGTATTTTATAGTACTTCTGCGTTGTTCGCTGCTACCAGACGTTTGACCCCTAGTCACTAGTCAGATAGACACCGTATGCATGTGTTGTTGTAGAAAGGCTGAGATCAGAAAAACGCAACATGATAGACACAGATGTATTCGAAGAGAAACATGAAAGCTCGAGCCCAGCAGTCGTTTCAAAGATACAATGTTTGGATGGGCGGGCGAACCTCCGCGAAGGGGTCATCATCCTTGTTTGGGTTTGACATCTATCTACGTGAAAACGGATATATATATATATACATTTTAATGTCATACATCCCAACAAATTTTCTTCAAATGCACAACATCCATGGATTGTCATATACGCAACTCTTTCTCCCTCTGCATATGTGCATATATATGTAGATACACATACATGTATACTATACTCAATATGTAATGTATATAGTATATATATATATGGTCCCGTGTCCCGTGTTCCCACCCCCCCATGGGATGGGGGGGGGTATGATGCCCCTGTGGTGGTGGTATGTATGTATGTATGCATGCATGCATGTATGTATGTATATATATATTTATATCTATATACATGTTACATGCATTTCTCTATGATAGTGTATGTGTACGTACATACATATATGTAAACATGTTTGTAAACATATGGAGAAACCATCCGATATATAGCGAAGACACGTATAGCTTATGTCCATACATACATACATACAAACATACATACATACATGCATGCATACATACATACAATTACATTACATTACATTACATTAACATTAATATTAACATTAACATTTACATTTACATTACAATACATTACAATACATTACAATACATTACAATACATTACAATACATTGCAATACATTACAATACATTACAATACATTACAATACATAACAATACATAACAATACATAACAATACATAACAATACATAACAATACATAACAATACATAACAATACATAACAATACATAACAATACATAACAATACATAACAATACATAACAATACATAACAATACATGACAATACATAACAATACATAACAATACATAACAATACATAACAATACATAACAATACATAACAATACATAACAATACATAACAATACATAACAATACATAACAATACATATACATAACAATACATGACAATACATAACAATACATAACAATACATAACAATACATAACAATACATAACAATACATAACAATACATAACAATACATAACAATACATAACAATACATAACAATACATAACAATACATAACAATACATAACAATACATAACAATACATAACAATACATGTACATAACAATACATAACAGTACATAACAATACATAACAATACATAACAATACATAACAATACATAACAATACATAACAATACATAACAATACATAACAATACATAACAATACATAACAATACACAACAATACACAACATATACACAACAATACATAACAATACATAACATACATAACATACATACAATACATAACAATACATAACAATACATAACAATACATAACAATACATAACAATACATAACAATACATAACAATACACAACAATACACAACAATATATACATATACATAACATATACATAACATATACATACATATACATACATATAGATACATATACATACATATACATACATATACATACATATACATACATATACATACATATACATACATATACATACATATACATACATATACATACATATACATACATATACATACATATACATACATATACATACATATACATACATCTACATACATCTACATACATCTACATACATCTACATACATCTACATACATCTACATACATACACATACATACACATACATATACATACATATACATACATATACATACATACACATACATACACATACATACACATACATACACATACATACACATACATACACATACGTACATACAGACACATACATACATACGTACATACATACATACATACATTAATACATTACATACATACATCCATGCATGCATGCATGCATCCATCGATCCATCCATTACATACATACATACATACATCCATGCATGCATGCATCCATCCATCCATACATACATACATACATCCATACATCCATACATCCATACATCCATACATACAAACATACAAACATACAAACATACAAACATACAAACATACAAACATACAAACATACAAACATACAAACATACAAACATACAAACATACAAACATACAAACAAACAAACATGCATACATGCATACATGCATACATGCATACATGCATACATGCATGCATGCATGCATACATACATACATACATACATACCTACCACCACAGGCCACAGGGGGGGGGACCACCACAGGCCACAGGGGGGAGGGGCGGACCAGAAGAACCAGACGATACTGTACACCCATACCCATTGGTGGGGGGGAGGGGGGTACGATGGACAGTTCGAGGCTATTTGGCAGTTAGCAGCTACCGTTATATGTGTTTACCCATTTTAGTACATGATAAGTAGACGCTGGAGGCGCTGAAGGTGCTGAAGGCGCTGGAGACACTGAAGGCGCTGGAGGCGCTGAAGCCGCTGAAGGCGCTAGAGGCGCTGAAGGCGCTGCAGGCGCTGAAGGCGCTGGAGGCGCTGAAGGCGCTAGAGACGCTGGAGACGCTGGAGGCGCTGGAGGCGCTGAAGGTGCTAGAGGCGCTGAAGGCGCTGGAGGCGCTGAGCTAGAGGCGCTAGAGGCGCTGAAGGCGCTGAAGACGCTAGAGACGCTGAAGGCGCTGGAGGCGCTGAAGGCGCTGAAGGCGCTATGAAGGCGCTATAGAGGCGCTGGGGGCGCTGGAGGCGCTGAAGGCGCTGAAGGCGCTGAAGGCGCTAGAGGCGCTGGAGGCGCTGGGGGCGCTGGAGGCGGCGCTGATAACGATAGAGGCGCTGGAGGCGCTGAAGGCGCTGGAGGCGCTGGAGGTGCTGAAGGCGCTGAAGGCGCTGAAGGCGCTGAAGGCGCTGAAGGCGCTGAAGGCGCTGAAGGCGCTGGAGGCGCTGAAGGCGCTGTTGTTACATCAGATCGTGTTACGCTGTTTGGTCTTGTCTTCATGATGCTACGCTGCTTGGTCTTCTCTACATCATGCCTTGCTACACAGCGAATGAATTTCATCAGCATAGGTTTTAGCACCCAAAACTAATCTGGGAGCACAAGTTTTTCGTGTTTGGCATCAGCAGCGTCACTAGTTGCCATTTTCTGGTTTCAGCTAGAAAAAAGCGCTGGCGAGGTGAGGCGCCCAAAATTGCAGATTCCGTGACGGAACTGATGGTCAAAAGACAACAACTCACTTTCATCAAGCAGAAACCAACCCACTTTTATATATTTTTACCTCCCTGCCAAAGCGTGCATAAGCGCTCTTGGAATGAAGAGACGGGCAACCCTTCGCTGTCAAGCAAACGCCGCGCAGCACCTGGTAAGTCTTGTATATGTTCTATCCGCCAAATAAACGCTAAGCTTCCATAGCACGGGGGAGGGGCGTGACCAACGCTGCACCATATATATAGGCATTATGACAGAATCATGCATCGCCTCTGTGTGTCCCACCTGGCAAGCACGACTGAGGAGAGCTCCAGCGGCAGAACAAGATCTCCGAGTGCTGAACGACCAGTTGCAACTCGAACCGTAGGATCCTCAAGCACAAAGCCTCCCTGGCGAGAGCGAGAGCAGCGCCAGAATACTGCTCGAGGTCGGACAAGAACCGAATCACGGTCGTCCATGGGAGCAAGCTGGACCAACACTAGACGTGACAGAGATCGTCCTGTCGGAGTTCCGGAGCCACCGCCTCCTCCGAACCGCATGTCGGGCTCGCAGTGGCCAAATCAAGGCTACCAAGAGCCTCAGTCCAGCTCAACTTCGTACCGTTCTTATGGTCAATATTATCAGCAGCCTTATTACCGTACCAATCCTCGAACGTACAATGTTGAGTATGTTCCTGGATACACTGTTCCACGCAACAGATGGATTCAAAAATACAATGGTGATTGGCTAGATTTGCTTCCGCAAACGCCCGGACAATCAATTTATTTTTACGAACCTAGAAACCAGAGAAGACGGAACGAACTGGATCTGTACGGATATACTTTCTCGATGGGCTTGTAGGTCCTTCAATTGTCAGTGCGCCGAATTACGGCCAGACAACAACTGCCTGTAGTTTTGATTTTTGTCTTCGGACTCATACGTTTCACAGCAGAACACAAGCTGAGCGCTTCTTGTGTAAAAAGTAGCTGCATGTTCCGACACGAAGAAAATTGGTGTCTGTTTGTTATTTATTTTTGTTTACGTGTCTACACAATGCTTTCACGCATGTTGACATGAACATTGAATTCATTTCCACTGCGCCACTCTGCGGCTCAAGACTACTGCGTACCTGCATAGCTCCCTCAATACGGGGATTGCTACCTCACCCATTGGTGGGGGGGAGGGGGGTGACCAACGCTGCACCATATATAGAAACATTATGACAAAATCATGCATCGCCTCTGTGAGTCCCACCTGGCAAGCACGACTGAGGAGAGCCCCAGCGGCAGAAACCAGGCCCGGTCAAGCCGTGGGGGTACTGAAATGGACGGAAATTGGGTCAGCTTTGACGTGTGTCAATAGTCTGCTGGGAGTCATGTTACCAAAGAGGAAATTCGGAAATATTTGGAAATGCTATTGACAAATTCAAAATTCAAATACTTCACCTTCCACTTTCTTGTCACCACCATCATATCGCTATCCTGTGAAGGGATCAGATGAGTGGCGGCCAGATGAATGGCTCCCTCGACAAGATGCAGGCGGAGCTTTGCCAGTTGGGTTTAGGAGAAATGTGCCTAAAACATCCAAAAACCCTATGTTTGAAGGGAAAAACCGTGGGTTTTTGCAGATCTTCCCCAGCCATCCGGCGCAAAAATGCCAATATCAGGGGCTGCAACCACCGGGTCCACATCCACGAAATTGATCCAAGGAGATTATTTATGCCCGAGAGTCCGAGAGTCCTGCATTTTTAATATTTTGAGTGCCAATATTTTGAGATACAAGTATATATTATATTAGAAACTATTAAAAATATATTAGAAAATATTGAGACTGGTTGCCAGTATTATATTAGCCAATCTTTGGATGGCAAACAGTCTCTTTTCCTGAATTTTGTATCGGAATAGCCTCACCTGGCAGCATGAACACCGTTAGTGTCTACAGGCTTTCCACGCCCTGCAACGGAGTCAGCACGAGCGCTCGAGATTGGGGGAGCGGGCTGGTGAAGACGGGGACTTGGTAGATGCTCATAACATACAATTAGATTATATGATATGTAATTATGTTCATATACGCATATGGTCACATATGTATTATGTATCATTCGTACACGCATAATACATGATAATTACGATATAATACGGATATTATACAATACACCACAATGCATATATTATACAGATCTTCCACTTGAAGATCTGTTCTTTTTGTTTTCGACTCATTGAATGATACATCGCAGTGTTCATCCAAGTCACGGTGGTGGAATTAGGGGATTTCAAGTCATCTCAGGAACTGTTCAAAGGCCACATCTGAACTGGGCCTGGATTGGGAGATTGGTCATTTTTGAGATATCTTGAGGTGGGTCTCCCCAGTTTTTGTTATACACAAATCCGAAAGGTGGCTATAGATGGCTATAGGCTATAGATGGCTCTAGATGACTGTAGATGGCTATACTATAGATTTTGGCTGGTCACTTGCATCTCGTTCTTGTTCGCTGCCCCAGGACTGACGCTTCAAATCCCCATATCGCTATATGGCTGGGGTATACCTCTGGCAACCACCCGGTTGCCTGAAATGCTCCGATTATTGAGCCAGCAAGAAACACTCCCAGAGAAACAACAAACACCAAATGTCCAAATCAATGGAACATGTTTTATCCGGAAAGTCATCTTCTAAGCTTCTGAAACATGATTTTTGGGTTACCAAGGTCTTCCCACCTAGCACTGAGCCGGTGCGGAAGGCGGGAACTGGGAAAGAATGGGGTTCTGTGGGGATATCATTGGGACAATTTTATTGGGATAATTTTAAGTGTCCCATTATTTATGAATCATATTTAGCAAATATAATGGGGCGACAATGGGATATTATACTGATGCCAAGTTCGTATTAATACCACCCCCTCCCCCCTTAGACGGTAAGAGGCCCCCCCAAGTGAAAAACTGGGGCTTGTCATACATGAAAAAAACAACCAACCTGCCTGCCAACTGGTCGAGATTTCTATTTCAGTGGCAACCTCCCTCCCAACCTTCAAAACATGACTTTTCCAACCATTAAAAACCAATTGGAACCATTTAAAAAAAGTATACCCTGACTACCACAAATTAGGATCAGGATTTCTGATCAGGGTGTTGTTTAATAGGGAAGGTCACACATGTTTATTAATAGGGAGGGAACAACCCAAAGTAGTATTGACAAACATTGTTTGGAATGTCGGTGTCGATCAATTCGGGCTGCTTATTAATATGAACTTAACATTATGGGATGATTTTATGGGATTGTTCAATACATAGCCAACTTAATGCTGTATGATTGTGGGTTTGTGTCAACACAGGGGACACTTCATGGGAAATGATGATCAAACAATGGGTTTGGGGGTCGCCTATTCCTGGACAAAGCTAGATGCGAAAAATGCAAGCATGTTATTTGGCAATCTAATTTGGCAGATGAACATCACCTATTTATAGATGTTTTTCCCATTAAAGCCTTCATTGAGTTCGGGGATTTCCCAGCTAGCCACAATCGATTGAGGGTAATCCAGCTACATGACCTGCACTATTTGGATGTTCCCCGGCGAAACCCCATTGCTATGCTGCTATGGGTGTGAATATTATGTATAGAATTATATACAGAATATACGCATTATACATAATTACCATAATTACATGATATACATGATATACATCATATACATCATATACATTCATATCCATCATGTACGTGACATATGTATATATATATATATTATACCCATAGATACACACATACCCACACATACACGCACACACACACACACTTTTCCACAAAGCAAAACGAGAGGTCAACCCTTCGGGGTTCTCAATTTTTGTCCAATTTAGGACCATCGCGTGTCACGCAGATTCCGAGTCACAATTTCGACAGGCAGCGCCACAGCCGCAGCCGCAGAACACTCAACAGGCAGGACAGACTGGCGGGTTGTGAGTTCCAACAGTAGCAACAAAGTACGAAGACGTTTGATCTTACGTCAACGGTTTCTTGAGGAAACTGGAGTTTGGCAAAAACTTGTTCAGTATTACAAACATGTCAGTGTGGATTTGTGTGTGCAAAAAGTACACCAACACCAGGGATGATCGTGGATCATTGGTGCCAAGGTTTTCGCACCAGCATCGTTCCCTCCTACTCAGTCGGCTGAACCAGAGGCACAGCCTGGTGTTGTAGACTCCACTTTGTCGCCGAAGAACAAAGATCAATGAACTCAGATACACGGATATTCGCATTCAATGTCTGGCAATTTTGGTTTAAGTATGAAGAACATTTATCAGAGAAACCCTAGAATCGTAGTTTTAACCATCCTATGATCGTGCGTGGGATCGGTTTCAACGATTTATGGAACAGGGAGTATCTGGGTAAATTCGAGAAACCTCTCAAGGACCTGACCTGTAGGTGATGTTTAAGGAGAACCATCCGGGCCTTGGCAAAGATTTTTTCGCTGTCAGTCATCAATCGTCATCACAATTTGCTGCACCGCTGCTTCTTTTAAGCAGGACTTCTCAACCTTATTACAACAACAGGGGATATTGCGGCTCTCAAATATACAGTGCCCATTCACATCATCATATTACCATTAGATCTGGACGGCATATAAACTGCATGTATATACATTCACTCTGTGTGCATATGTATGTACATATGCAGGTATATGTAGGTATGTGTAGGTATAGACTTATGTATACATACATGTAAATGTTATAGATGTGATTATATTTGTCTGCAATATTCTATGCATATGTACATTATATATATATATATTTACATTGTATATATTATATATCCATGTATGTCCATAATATGATAGTCCAATAATAATACACACATTCCCAAAAAAATGTGTTCAGGCTCAACGAGTTCCAGTGAAGGCGCCGAGTTCTGTGGGCGTGGAGCCAGGGATCAATAGGTATGAGAACATATAGGAAAACTTATCTATAAATATGTGAAATCTATAGGAATTCATCCTAAATTTGGCATGGAACCCTAAAACTTGATTTGGGAAGATACATTCTCTATCGGATCTAGCAATTTTCGGGTGTTCAATACTAAATTTAAGGGAGGTGCATAGGAAACCCAGGGTTCTTTCCATCAAAATTGGTGGGACTGAGTGCACAATTTTCGCTTAAATCTATTCAGCGAAAGGAGGGACGCTGAGAGATTTCTGGGACCAGAGGTTATTGTTTAAAATACCCTCTGGTTATTTAACATAGCCATGGGAAGGCCCATTAATAGATGGTTTTACCTATTAAAAATGGTGGATCTTTCCATGGCAAACCGTTAGTCATAGCCAGATGGCATGGCACTTGTAGGATCCGCGGATTGCACCTGGTGAATAAGCAACTGGAAAGTGGCCATTTATAGCTGGGTAATAAAGCCCCACTTGCTAAGGACGTTGGGAGTTGTGGGATGGTCCTACTACATGATAGGCTTGTCCTTGCTAGGGTTGTACCATCTCGGTCGAAGCTTAGGGTTAATAACGGTTAATACTCACTGTTTTCTACTTGGTGCATGCCCATTAAGTGGCTGATAGCCTATATAATTAGATATAGCCTAATATAGCATTATATAGACCATATATAATCCAGATATGACTGGATTCTGTCATGGCTACTGAGCATTTAACGGGGATGCACCAAGATGATCGACAGCTGCGAGGCCTTTCCAGGTCAAGCTCAGGCAGTGGTGACCTGGTGGGTTGCCAGGGGGATGGCGTCGGAGGAATTCTGGAGCCACACGAAAATGGCTGTCCCGTTGAAAAGTAGGCTTGATCTGGGATCATGTCTGAGATCATGATACCCAGCAAATCCCAGCACTATGTACATAATTGTACATATATCTATGTACATACTAGACAAATCACCTGTATCATAGGGTATCTATTTGACACAATGATATGGATGGTGACTATCGAATCATGGTGGCCTGGAAATACGAATCATTCATACTCATTCCATTGGACGCACTCTTGTTTTGATTCTGGATCTCCATTTCTGTTGCTGATATCCCCAGTGTTGCTGGCAGCCGGTTGCGTTTTCATCAGTGTCAGTTGTAAACCGTTGTAAACCCATCTTAGATCATTTTAGCATCAAACTATATCCTCTGATTCTTACTTTTAGTTGATTGTAAGATATCATAAAACTATGATTTTCCCGGTTGCTCCCTGAAGCTTTTTCGGAGCCACACCAACCGCTCCGCCTGTGCTTTTTGAAATTCAGGCACCAGCGCAAGAGTCATCGTTTCCCAATACAGAGCCTCGCCAGCAGGCACTGCCAGTGATAGGATGTGATAGGGGATTGCCGGGATTGTGGCCATTTTACTACGGAAAGATAGGATACTATCACTATGAAAATGGCCATCATATAATGCATTTGATTACTGAAATGGGATTATGGCACTGCCAGTGGGGATTATGATACTGCAAACCATCGGATTTGAGTCCCCTAAATACGGGGGCCCAGCATGCCCAGCCATATATCAATGTCTTGGTGGGGATTGAACCAACCATTTTCATAGGGGACATGACTGGCTCTTCTAGGGACATAACTGTCTATGGCTGATATAAGTTCTGTTGGCTGCATATTTTATGTTGAATTGGTTTACGGTTGAACCCCTGATAAGACAAGCTTTCCTGTAGATTTTCCCTTAAACCCAGCCATTGAACGATGAAACCCCAATTCCTTCCCTTGGACAAAGGTAGCTATGAATTCAAATCATTCCATGGTTCCATTTCAGATTCTGTTTAATCAATTCAAGTGAGCCACATGTTGGACAGAGCTGGGTCAGAGGCAAACGTGGTAAAGTGTCAGTCCTGTTGAGTGGCGCTGGGAGGCTTCTCCAGTCCGCCCACCGGTCAAGGTGGGACATGCTGGAACTCCTCCCTGGATATGCCAAGTACTTATTCAGTCTATCACCAAATATACAGTAGGAGTTATCGTATCATCCGTGGGTCACGGGTCTTTTACCATTGGTGGTGCGCCAACAACTTTCGTGGCAGTGGGTCAAAACATGCGTGCCATTGTGGACACCAACAAATGATGAGCCAAACAGTGCCGGTCGCTGATGCGAAATGCAGGCTTTTCCAACTGGGAGTACAGCAGAGGCCAGTGGAGTGCCCAGGTGAAAGTGGCAATCCCACATACTTTATCATTTATTTTTCATGTTAAAATTTGAATCTGACCAAGCCTAGCCGCGATGGAGATCGATGGAGGATACTCTTGTAAACAACTAGGCCTTTTCAAGTATCAATCTGAGTATTTTAGGTTTGACCTCATGTTTCCCTTGATTTCTGGGTGCTGATCTGGAAGGCACCGCCATCGTCGTTTCCTCCTGCGCAACCTTTTCAACAGGTGCCGCGATGCCGGGCCGAACGTTCACCATTCCAATTGATCCAATTGGATGAACATCTGAGTGAACTCAACCCATTGCAGAGCTCAATTTTCAGGTCCCAGGTCCCAGGTTAGTGGGGTCAGGGTGAAGTGTCAGTAGCTGTTTCCTCCAGCACCGGAAATGGAGGCTCCTCCTGCTCGACCACCAGTCAAGGCAGCGTGAGAAACGTGATGCCCTATTCGGTTTAGCACCAAATAACGGGAGTTGTTTGGTGCGCCAACAATTTTCATTGAGCCATTCTTGGGGGTCAAGGCTAAAGTGGCATGGTGGACACCAGACATGAACCAATGCCAGTCGCTGATGCGAAAGTCAGGCTTTTCCAGCTGGGCAAACAGCAGAGGCCAGTGAAAGGGTGCAGGTGAAAGTGGCAATCTGACATAATTATATACTTTCCAATATTTTCCAAATAATTTGAATCTGAAACCCTGGGTCACAGGATGATTTCAATCGCCTTTTTTGTTAAAGTCTATGGGTGTGGCCGGCTGGTGGTTTCAAATATCATAGGTATTTCCAATTTAGAACGATGATCCTCAATTGACTAGACGTTTGTCCGCGGGTTTTGACCACCAATCAGAGATCTGTATGGAAGGTTCTTTGATTATCCACCTGTACAACTGGGAAGATTGCGGCAAAGAACTTGGAGATTCTTCAGGTTTGAAAGCACCAGCCCTTGCAGCAAGACAGGCCTCCAAGACAACAGCCTCGCCGCCTGTCAAGGCTGGGTCCAGATGGTTGTTGGCCGAGAATTTTACAGGATTTTACTCACAATTGGATGGCATCTTCATCACATGATTCCCCCATTATTCCCGAGTGGTTGGGAGATGTTTGGTCAGGCGTTCCCAAGAGCTCCCTCGTCCCAGGCGCGGCAGTGCCTGGGGCAGTGCCTGGGAGCCCCATGGCTTGAGAAAATAGATGAAAATATAGTATACTGCATGGTATTGCAAATAACCAACAGTAAGAGATGTGGAGATATACCCTCTGGTAAACTAACATAGCTATTGAAAAATGGCCATTTATAGTGAGCTTTCCCATTAAAAATGGATAAACATGGTGATTTTCCAGTTCGCTATGTGGCTGTTTACTAGAGGGTACAACCCAAAATCACAGAGCTATGGCTAATCGACACTTGGAATCCCCAAGATGTGGACGCCGGAGGCGAATCCACAATCGCCCACGGAGCACAGAGTCAGGCGCGGCGGGTGGGTTTTCAGATGGCATGTTGACCCTGGAGGGAGAAAAAAGGGAAAGCCGCAAAGAAACATGGCAAGGAAAACTCCCCATTTCTGCCATAGGACAGTAATGGGACCATGCTTGACAAATGGGGAATTTTATGGGGGAATGTTCGCCAGAGGGTATCCAGTGGAACACCACCAGTAGAGTTTGCTGTCGGCTGAAAGCCTTTGTGTTTTTCGAGGAGTTGATTTCTCCGTTTCAGAAGGTTGGGCCAAACCCACCAACGGACTATGATGGATGCACCTAATCTCTTGGGCCCAAAGATTCGACACCTGCCTCAAAATCCCCTGGTTGGGTGTTGGATTTCTTCATTTGCCACCCCACAATCGGACATTTCCAGGTATTTCAATTTATATACCCTCCGCTAAATCAAACACGAACATGGAAAAACGCCCCATCTACTATTCACAGATGATTTTCAGATGATTTTTGCATATTTTTCCAGCTAGAAACTTCCATTTCGTTCGAGGATTTCCCCAATGGAACCATCCTTTTTGAGCCGATTTTCAGGTTCATGGACGGCACCGAAGAGGCGGCCGAAGCCGTGGCCATTGGCGAATGTCGCGCCACTGTAGACCTGGAGAAACCGAATGTAAGGAGGGGCCCAGGGGAAGCAGGGCTGAAGCAGGGAGAACATGGAGAAAACTGGAGGTCTGGGTGTGTTTGTGAAACATGTGGATGTGGGATCATATAGGATCATATTTTGATCATATAGGTAAGAAATACATATGTACATATATGATCATATATGTACACATGCATGTTATCTGCATATGTATCTCACACATATGCAAATGTGGAAAGCTCAACAACCAATCCCTTTTGCAGATACCACCTAGACGAAATTGTAAAATTGGGTCAATGGATACTGATTTATTATTGAGGAGTTCGCCATTTTGTTCCTACAGAACAGGCAGCAATGACACCACCAATGTTATTTTTATTTTAAACAGCATGGCAACATCACTAATTCATGATACGGTGTTTTTGAATGTTTTTGAACTATTCATATATCCAGCATTTCAGAATACGCATATGCAGATGCGCATCCACATCCACATCCACATCCATATCCATCTATCTATCCGTTCATATATACATACACATAACATATATGTATGACGCCACTGGAAGGGTAAATTTCAGGGAGCCAACCAGCCTCGCATGAAGCACAGGCGCGGCGACCTCTTGTGGATCTTCGAGGTGGATGGCGAGTGGTTGTGCGGCACTGCGCAGAAAGGCCGGCCGCTTGCGTGCGGGGAGCAGAGACTGGTGAGGAACTGAGGAACTGGGTCTGGAAGAAGTTCAGGTGAAGATCTATAGCTTTCCCACAAAAAGAAAGTCATGAAACTCACGTCATTGAGATGATTTCAGGAATCCAAAGATATCACCAGGGTCAACTTTGCCCAGCGCAAGGTGGAGAGCCACTTGCTTGGTTTCCAAGATGCAACGTGAATGTGATGCTTGGCTGGTAAGTGTGGTTTGTTGTGTACGGGCTGGGTCAAACTCAACTCTTTTTTTTTTTTTGTGGGGTTTGTCACAAAATGGTTGATACGGTAGTAAAGCTACTAATAAGTACTTGGGGTGTCCCATCATTGGACTTTCTGGCAAAACTATTTCTGTTTTGCATAGGAATCTTTTGGGGTGTCCCATCATTTCATGACATATCCCCATCATTTGGGATGCCCAGAAACTTTCACCTGGGATCCCCACTTGATGGCAAGATGCAAAGGGAGGTGGGACCGGTAGGAAGACCAGCTGGAAGCCCCAGGTTTTTTTCTTGAAGTCCATTGAATTCCGTGGCAAATTTCAAGGGTTGAATACCAGGGAATACCTTGAAACATCTTGAAACCACTTCCAATTGAGCCTCTTGTCTCACTTCATCCCCTCTGGCCGAGGTTCGTGGACATTTAGATGAGCGGCTATTTAGAAGCTTAGGGCTTGTTGCTGCGGTGCAACATCCCGTCTGCCTAGAGCGCATCACAATATGGCCCATGATCAGATCAAGTTTTTTTCACGGCCCCTTATGGATGAGGGATCATTGAAACATGGTGAGAGACAGCTTGTGATATAGTTGACTCCGCCTTGTATTTGTTTTTTTTGGGCCATATGGGAAGGTGAGCGCGTTCGCAAGAAAAAGGTTCTAGGCGCTGTATCGGACCCTTGGGACAGACAGTGGACTTGGGGTATCCATTTTAGTTCATGGTTAAGAACAGTAATCGATGTGGGAAACTCTAAACCTGGTTAAGCATGGTTAAAAAACATGTAGACCAACTTTTACCATTCATTTTTGACTTATTCAAACACCGCTGGAGAACTTCATCAGAGTGTTGGCAGCGGGCAACCTCCTTGGAGTTGACGCTTCATCCCCTTTGCGATTGGGGCTTGGTAAATGGCATGTTTTTCATTTTTTTTCTGGAGCTTGAACATGACCTTGATGTTTGTTTTGTGGATTTCGTACCACTACTGTAGCTATTCGGATCTATTCCGTGTAGAATAGCCATCACTAGCACTGCCCAGTTGTCTTTCCAGGTACACCTTCAAGCCGGGTGAAAAGGTGCCATTGGAGCCTGACCTGAGCTTTCCACCTGCGGCTTGGCGATGGGGAAAAGGCTGTTCAACGGCTGTGCATATATACATACATATATATAATTATACATACATATCAATAATATATAGATATTCTTCTCATCTCTCCATTGCAAGTGCGATATGTATACATACATGTATAATATATTATGTATATATAAATAATTATATATAATTATATATATAAAGAGACAAACATTTTTGCTACCTACACTAGCCTATATCCCATGTTCCAATTATACGCTGACTTTGGGGAATGCAACTGACTTGACACGAAACCTGGCACCCATTTGGTCAACTGATGGTTCCCATAGATCCCTATGAGACACGGGTTTTTTGCTGTATACATTTATATACCGTGTCTGCAGCAAACTCCAAATAGATAGAAATAGATAGTTAAATAGAACAGTTGAAGCTTGGAAATCATGTGGGAGACATCATCTATAAATTATCTATAAAGTCTATATAGCACCCTGAAAACGCCTTGGGACCCCATGGGACACCTTTTGTTTGATGAACTTCTCAGGTCTTCACCGCGGATAGCTGCGAGTGGAGTGCTGATGGGTCACTGCTGGGACTGGTGGACAGCACTGGAGGGGTCCAGGTGTTCCTTGGATTCCTTGGCGCCAAGGGATGGAGGATACCCGAACAAGGCCATGTTTCATGTTGGTCAATCATCTCCAAAATGGGCAACAAGAGTCTGTTGGGATGTTAAATTGCCAGAGGGTATAGTTCATTCCATAGCAACCAAATGGTAAACATATATGGGTAAATAAAGTATGATATATTTTCGCGTGTATCACGCTTAACTGGAAATGACCAATTTTGTAGCGCTTCAAAGCAATTTCGTAAGAAAGGCAACAATGTGAATGTGGGGAATATCAAGCAAGTTTTCCGTGCAAGTCGCCGGTGCTTCCCTGTTCCCCTTGGAGCTTGAGATATGGTTCACCCTGGGCTCAGCTCAAGGCTGGATGCTTCTGATGGCTACAAGCCCTTGTGTCAAGTGCCTGCCCTGGTGGGTGGTGTCAGGACACGGCCAGGGGTGTCCCGTGGTTTCCCATACCAAACCGGCAATGGAACGTCCATGAACGTCTTAAATTCTGCATGACATGTATATCATATCATTATATATATACACACACATCTCACACACATGTATACATATACGTATATATATATTATAGACATGTCAAATGCATCCTTGCAAATATTATGTATTGTCACCTATGACCAAAGAATCGAAGTTCATCTTGGAGCTCCCACCCATGAGACCTGGTTTTCCAACCACCGTCCGATCACCAGGAACTTCTACTTTTCCCCGCTTGGGAACCACCTGGTGACTTATGAGCGATGGGAGAAGGTGCCAGCCATAGAACCCTGCCCCAGCTTGGTTGGATTTGCTTGATTTTGCTTGGAGCCGTTCGGGTGTGTCTGAAAATAGGGTGACTATCAAATAAAGATTTTTCACGGGGAAAATGATAATAAACCAGTAAAACCCAAAAAACACAAAAAACAATGAAAAATGAAATGACCGAAAGCGACACAAGCCCTGCAAGAGCCTCTGGCTTGTTGCACTTCAAATGCTTAGTGAAATAGGTCAGAGCTAGTTCAAACTCTCTCTTGACAAGCTTGAGGATCGTACACATAATTGATACTTAATTCCAGTAGTTAGGCGTTTCCATCTGCTTCCATTCACAGCGGAGCTTCGTTCAGTTGATCTTAGCGTAGTTCCAGGACGTCTGCGGAAGGAGAACATGATAATAAACCAGTGGATTTTGAGGTCCCCTCTTTCAGACACACCTATCTGGACCTATCTTGAGCATTCAACCAATGATTGGCACTGTGATAAACCGATAAACCCAATGCGAAAAAAAACCACCCCATTAACCAACATTTCGGATTAGTTTACATCATCCCATTTGCTAGGGGCAGACCCCAATGATCCCATTTTGGAGTGTCTCAAATCATACAATCTTCAGCCATCATCAGCCATCATCATTTGGCAAAGGGTTCCACTGAGTTACATGGGGTCCCTCTCTGTGCCTGGCTAGTGCTGGCTAGCGCAACAGGAGGCTGGCAACAACGTGGGCCTGTGGGATGCCAAGACGGGCCAGATGCGCTTCTCCTTCACCATGAAGAACATGACGGTCGCTTGGTGCCACAGGATGAAGCGAATGGACCCGAATGGATATGTAACTCCGACGAGAAGTCATGTCCTGGCGGCACTATCTGTCACTATCTCACCACGATTTTCCTTGACACATCCCACAGGAACCGTCCACTCAGTAATTACCCTTCAAGAGAAAGCCGCGTTCACGTTGCATAATATCACATACTTCGCGTTTAAACTCTTTGAATATTCTTAAAGTCCACTAGATCAGAAATTCATTGAAATTCCAATAAAGTCCATTCAATTTCCATGAGATCCCCATGCAGTTTTTCTTTCGTCGGCATGGCAGGCCATGACATGGCCGCCCCTGAAATGGACTGCCCTGGAGACGCACTGCTGCCGAATGGTACAGGCCATGGGCCATGCTGTCGAAGGGGCCGATTTTTCTGGATGTTGGAAGATTTGGATGGTTCAACTTGGCTTTTCTTAGCAGCGGGGGCCATGGGACAACACAACTTCCCAGTGAGAAACTTCTGAGTTACTCTTGTGAAACTTCTAAGGCCAGAATTTTCTAGAATTTTCGAGATTTTCCAGAATTTTGGTGATGTTGAAAGCTCCAGATTTCTGCTTCAACGGAATATCTATGGAATGTCTTTGGAATATCTATGGAATATGACTGGAACTGGAGATTTCAAGTCTAACCTACCCTTTACATGTTGGGATAATTCCATATGGGAATCCTTACACTATACATATTTTCATCATTACTATCCTAATCAGGACCACAATCATTATCACTATCGTAATTGTTATCATTACCATTAGCATCATCATAATTTTCATTGTCATAGAATCATAGTCATACCCTTGAATCATAATATACTCCCCATAGGATATGATTATACAATATTATACATATTATACATTGTTTCAATATATAAGTATATGATAGTATACACAATCATTATAGTATACTATATATTGATAGTATAGTATACACTATATGAGTATGATAGTATACACAATCATTAAACAATCATATTATCATAGTCATATACTCATATATTAATATGATCATACACAATCATCTTATCATAGTCATACTCATTGTTTCATCATCATAAAAGCACCGTGAAATTTTGCTGCTCCCAGGATGGCGTTCAGATCATGCCGGGCACCTGCGACCGAGAGAACGCGCAGGAGACAGTCCTTGGGTCAACCAAACGATGGGAGAACAGACATTGCTTGGATTCGTGATAGATATAAAAATCCAAGCAATGACAATGGAAAATAGATGGAAAATAGATGAACAAAGATGACAATAGATACTATACCAAAATATTGGTTGGAGATTTCATAAATATACTGTGGATAATATAGCAATGTAAGTGTATCTATATATACATATGGTTGCATGATAGATACATATAAGATACATATATCTATAAATGAACGATAAATCTATAGATTGATTAATGGAGTCGCGACGTCACGTTTCTGGTGCAGATCTCCCGGATCGAAGCCCCTGGGATCATGGCCTTCGAGGCGAACGGACCTGGAATGGAACCATTGGGAGCTGAGATAAAACCAACTGAGCCATTAAAAATACCCTGGTGAATTGATGGCTATAGGGGATTTAATCCTACCTGATTTACTGGGGATTATGATAAGTGATGATGGATGGGGAAACCTATCAACCAACTAGTATATGATGATGGATGGGGAAGGATATGGATTGGTTTTAGGGAACATAAAAACTGGAAGTATATAGCTTCCCACCAATCCAATGATCTGAACGCCACAGTTTTTAGTTTGCCCTGAATTTCGAAAAAGAGGGTCTATTCTTAGATATGCAGTGCATGCCAGTGGGGTTGTGGTGATGAACCATGGCTGCTTCAGCCATTTGAAAAGTAGTTATGGAGCATTACCACTTACTAGCTGGGATGCACATCCAAGTAGTATCTGAAAGCATGCCTCAAAAGCGGGAGCCAGGTGGCCCCCAAGGGTGCTGGCAGCGGCGGTGCTGGCGAGCCTCACGTGGCCATTTGTATTGCGGAGTGGAAGGGACAACCGGCCAGATGTCAGGCAGGCTGCAGGGTGGATGGGACGGTGGGGGATGGTGCGGGTGTTGGCGTGGGGCCTTGTGAGGTGCAGCTGGACAAGTCTTCAAGGTCCATATGATAAGGATGATGAGCAGGTTAAATCGCAAGAGGATGAGGATGAGGATTATATTGATTATATGTATATATATATATACATTTGTGAAATATGATGATATCAATTGTATATGTAATATTATATATATATGTGATGATGATGATGATGATGATGATGATGGTGATGGTCACTGTTATTTCACCGCAACGCCCCCAAACACCTAATTACTGACAGAGAGACCCAGAGGCAAGTCATTCCTGATAGCTTCAGATGGATGTTAGGTCGAGCAATTGGTTTTGGTGGTTTGCATTGATGGTTGATTTGGAAACCTTTCGGAGGGCAATGGGGATGGGCCAATATTTAAGCCCTATGGGACTACAGATTTTGAAATATGTCTAGTATATTCTAGTATTAACCATCTACCCTCTGGTTATTTAACATAGCCATGGAAAATAGCCCATTTATAGATGGTTTACCTTGTAAACATGGTGGATCTTTCCATGGCTATGTGAGTCATAACCAGATGGTAAGTAACCAATTTTGACCTACCCTCTGGTAAACTAACATAACTATGGAAAATCACCATTTTTAATGGGAAAACTCACTATAAATGGCCATTTTCAATAGCTATGTTAAATTACCAGAGGGTATACCGAAATCAACCAGTTGATCCATGACTATATAAAACCATGCAGCCATTGGTATACCTCCCAGATCTACCGGGTGGACCAGCCCAGCCGCGTCCGGGGCCCTAAAATTTTTTCACCGAGAATTGGGTGAAGTCATTGGGGGAAACGGAGATTTAGCTGTCGATGTTTTTAGATTTATGAAGTTAAGAAATGATAGAAATGTTAAAGGCCCAATCTCTATTCTGAAAAAAACTTTACTAACTACTCCCAATTTGGCAAAATTGGATGCGGTTTCTGCTTTGGGGTTTGGTACTGATGAGGAACGAATGGTGGGGCTGCAATCTGCTGGTGTCACTCTGCGGACTGGGAGTTTGGCTACGCAGGTCATTGATCCTGTAGACATGTTACATCCATACACTATATATATATACATATGTATATAATTTATACATATACATCAATACATATAGAGATTATAAAGATAAATGTATGTATTACAGTATATGTATACACATCAAGGCCACGGCCACGAAGAATTTCTTCAAGGTGGGGGTCATGGGGGGTCATGGGTTGTGGTTACAGTGCCAGGAACAGGAACCAAAGATGGTATAAAACCAACCAAACACTGGATCTATAGCAGATACAATGGTGATAGATAGGGGATTTTTAGGAAAAGATGGGGTGTAGAACCAATCGTGTGTTTGTGATTCATAGAATGGGATCAAACATGACGTAACCAAACAACATCCTTGGAAATGTCTGTGGGTTAAAACTGAATACCTGAAGAAAGGGTACAGAACTGTTCACATCCCCGAAAAGTCTGAATAGTCTGAATAGTCCGGTGATTTTATTGTCCGGAGCATGAGATTCAAACTGCCTGGCTGAAATTCTGTGTTTTGATTTGAACTGGATATTGACCAAGCATTTCTATCTGCAACAAAACTGAAGATACAGTACTGTATGCATGCGTGCATATATATACATATATATATATATATTTATAACTGTATATACGTATATATACGTATACACATAAACAGATAAGTAGACTTTAAGTATATACATAAATGCTACACATGTACACATTTGTGTGTATTTGTATATATATACACACGATTATATATGTATCTGATATATCTGGGGATTTTTGCTAAGGAGGGTGCTCCACATCAGTAATCATTAATCCCTCGCCCTCCCACGCTTCAGGCGCAGACTGTCGGGCGACCCAGCCTTCGGGAAGATTGGAGGAAGGGGATGCTCAACTGTTTGTTTCGGCAAACTTTCATGATGTTTTCCATTCTTTTCCATCACATTGTCCGAACATATGTTCTAATTTCAGGTGGGATACACTCAGCTAGTTTCACATCTTCCTATGATCAAAAATCACCATTTCGAGTAGGTAAATCATTGTAAATCATGGAATCAATGGGTTGGTTTAAGGGAAAATCTAAATCTACAGGAAACCATAGATTTTCCCATTTTTTATATGGGGCTTTCCGGTTAAAATTTTCCCTTAAACCAATCCATTGATGGAGTTCACCCACCATTTCTAGATCATTTTCCTAGGGTTTCCCCATGGCGAGGGCTCCGAGGTCACCATGGCGTGGAACAACACCGGCACGGCGGTGCTGGTGAAAGCGGCCACCGAGGCAGATGCCATGGGACCCCCCATGACATAGGAAACCTCCATATATATAGTATATTGTGATATACCAGCAACAATGGTGATATGTATATATATATATATGTATACATAAGCAGAGTATAATATCAAACATGGGGCCGGGGATACAATTGGTATAGTGGTGATGTATATATATATATGTATGTATAAGTGCAGAGGGATATAATGTTGGGATGAATATGTATATATATATATACAGCATAATGGTGATGTACCAGCAACAATGGATGATAGTTATCAACAAACTATATTGGGTATAAAACAAACCAAATATGGGGGTATAAAACTGGGTACATAGCAGCCAGAAAAACATGTTGATATACAATTACAAACTGTGGATATATGGGATTCAACCAATAAAGTTACGGAGGACTTGGGAATAACATTTTAAGAATCAGACAGTGGTATTTCAGAAAACCATAGTGGGTATATAACCAACAATTCATGGTGATATCATGGTGACACAATTAGGGTATCATGTTTGGAAGAATAACCAAACATGGGGATATAGGGATTCAATCAGCAAGATGCGGGTAAAATACAATCCAGCCATTTTATCGAGATATGACATGGGTTTTCAAAAAAGTGAGGGTAAAGTACTACCATTTTATTGCTATTTGAAAAACGGTAAACCATATTTCATTATCAATCATTAAGACATGAGACTGAATGCGATACCTTATTTTCAGACACACCCAGACGTTCTCTTGTTTTAGCGTAGCTGTAGCTGTGTATTTTCAACCATACATGTCCTTAAATCCTAAAGACGCACCCCTCATTTTTCATGACCAACAGCTATGGCCCATCTATTTTTCCTAAAAAGGATGCCGCTGAATCTTGATTGAACACCAGGAGGCAAGCACTGGAAAGAGTTACTATGGCGATGCAAGCCTGTATTTCCTCCGCGCAGATGGAGAGGAGGTGCTTGCTTTGGTAAACCCTGCTGTAGCTTTGACATGGTAACAGGATATATCAGGTCAACCATGTGTGTTTGGGGAGTAAATCAAATAAGTAAATCCAACTAGAGCAGTTGTTCTTCGAAGTGATTTGGATGGTTCCTTTTGTATTGCTATTGTCATGGAGCAGTTGTCATTTGTTGCTACACCTGCGCATGGAAAAGCCGCGTACCCCATGAAAAATCCCATGGTTTGAAACCTCACGAACTCGATGGAAATCCCTGCAATTTGGTGGCATGTCCACCATTTTTGGACCTATACATTGTATTAATGATTCTTGAGGACCTTTAAATTTGAAGTTATACTTCATACATCGCTGAAGAATCGTTGAACACATCTAAAAATTGAAATGGGGATGAGTCAAAACCCATGTTGTTTTTTGTTGTTCACCATGATTTTTGGGTGTGTTTGCAAATGGGAGTATACCATCAAATGGCACTTTTTCAAGGGAAGGTGATGATGAACTGAACCATTGGATGGAGTTTTAGCCCATAATTTTCAGTTACCAAAATCATTTGGGAGTCCAATGTTTTGGGATCTTCCATAGGACCATGATGATAAAACGATTTTTCGTTTTTTTTTTTTTTTCCGGATCATTTTCAAAGCCCGTTGCGTTGTTCCAGACCGCCCTTGTGGCCTCCGCGGACGGTGGGCCGCTGCATGATGTGCAGTGGAATCCCACGCAGGCCCCGGATGGCTGCTGAATTTCGGAGTACCGTTGGAGATTTTAGTAGCAGATCATCACTATAGTGAAATTATAGTAGATAACCAGTGATCATCACCAATTCTTAGTACATAAATGTACATAATTAGATAGTTTTGGGGATAACCCGTACCCGAATTTTATAATCAGCCAGGGTTTATGCATATTATGAATCCGTTGACATTGATTCAAAGCTATCATGACACCTTCGCCCTGCCAGGATGAGTTCGTGATGCTTCACGGCCAACATCCTTGTTCAGCTGCACTCTACGAGGGTCGCAAGGCGCCAGAGATGGTGAATTTTTGGGGTTTTGGAAGGTGTTTTGAACAAAGCTCCGACATTGGGTTGGAATTTGACACAAGATCTGGGGAAAAGCTTCGAGTTGTTGATCATGTTTGTTCTTGGAGAGCATTCTTTATCAAATCCAGTGAGGATTGAGTTTTGAGTGATTTCACCCACTGGCAAGACACTTCGTTAGAGACTAAGTAGGGTATGATTCAACACTATTGACCACAATTTTGGAACAGCATAAAAATACCAAGTTCGTGGGTCCAGTGGTATCTATGATCTTTTTAAGTCACATCCATTGCTTTCCAAGTTCCAGCTGCGAAAAGGTGAGTTGGAGCCACCCAAAACATGTGGGTTGGAGCCATGAAAACCTGGCACCGGGCACTTTTTCACACGTTTTTTTTAAAATGGATATATATGTAGTATTCATGTAACAGCATACAGCACTTTGGGCATATCCCAACCATGCCTTGATTGACCACGATCATGTTTCACAGCACTTTCTGTGGTTGGATGGAGCTGCTACTTGTTGTTTTCATGTTCCTACTCCAATACCACCGGTTTTAAGCCAGTTGGTGATTCACTGTGCCAGGGGAGCAAGCGAATGGACTTTGGCACGGGACACCGAAACACCATCAGGCCGCAGATTCCAGTGGTGTAGGATTGGCCTCTAGTTGGGGGAAGATACATATATACATACTTTACGAGTATAAATATCCTCGTATATGCTGTATGTATGCATATCCATCTATCGTGGTATATATATATATATATCTATACATATGTATATATATATATGATTGTACATGTAGGTATATAATGGTATATATATATAATTATATATATATATATAATATAGGGGCTCTATTTTTGGAAACTTCTATCTGATACAGATCTGATTCGGCAAGCTCTGTCGGAAACGACAACCGGTGTTTGTGCTGACCGTCCTGTGAGCAGATGGAACAACTTTGGCCGCTTCTTCACCTTGGGTGGATATGGCCAACTGATCCTTGGAGCCTGGAAGGTACCAAGGGGGGTGGCCCTCATGATGGTGACCACCATGATGATTATGCATGATTGTATATGATGATATGATTATATATATATATATATGTCTATAATATATATATATGGTTATATATGATTAATGATGGTGATAAGGAGCATCAGGCATCCATGACTACTCAGGAAACCTAAAGCATGGTGTTGCCGGATCGTGAGCTCCGGTGTGATTCATGATAGTCCCCACACCGTGATACTAACCCTCCCAAGATATCTCACCCAAGAATCAATAGTATGATTGTGGTAGATTGATCAAGGCGATGTATCAAAGATTCCATCAAATCCACGTGGCAAATTAGTATTCCTATTAGTGTTACAATTACATACAATTACTATTTTGCTGTCAGTATTCTTACTGGTGGTTTCAAACATTTTTTATTTTCCATAATATATGGGGTAATCCTTTCCATTGACTAATATTTTTCAAGATGGTTAAAACCACCAACCAGATTATATGATTAGTTCCTGGGATTTGCCAACCCAGTGCTCCGAGGAAGGGTGATACCGACTTTTGGGACAAGCCTGGCAAGTGGCTCGGCGCGCAGTGAAGCTGTGACGAAACTGTTCTTGAAGTTACCGGGTCTCCCGAAAACTGCTGGGTTCCAAATACAGCCTATATATATATATATATTAATTAATATACTCATTTCAGCAAATGGGATTTCACCTTTTCCATTTTTTCCAACTTTTTCAAACACATACACATCATATATAGATATATATATAGTATACATATTCACGGTACATAGCAAACTCAACATGCCTATTGCGGCAGGAAGTTGATGGCCTCTCTCCGCATGGAGCACCTCGGCTGGGGAAGCCATACTGGTGAAAACCCAAAACTGGGATTTTTGGGAAACTACGTTGCTCTTTTTTTTGCTCTTACCATATATTGCCATTACATATATATATATTTCACTAATGATATGCTATTCTTATTATTATTGTTAATTATTATGACTTTTCACTGTTATTCCGTGTTTTTTTTTTTTCGTTTTTTTATCCTAAGGCCCATAGATTCTCCCCTTGAAAAAAGAGATCAGTAGGCCCCCACTAAGGTGCTGTGTGGTCTGCGGCTGGGCTCCTGATGGTCGACACTTCCTGGCTGCAACCACTGCTCCCAGGAGCCGGCGTTTTTTGTGTATTCTGTATCCATGCGGAAAATTAAAAACCCATGGAAAATCACCATTTTTAATAGGTAAACCATCTATAAATGAGCCATTTTTCATGGCTATGTTAAATAACAAGATGGTATATATAATTATATATGATTGTATATGTACAGATTGACCATTAACCAGTGTACTTTCACTGGTACCCATGTCTTTGTTAAACCCGAGAAAGCTTGATTGCCGAGGCTTCGATTGTCGATGTTCCTGACATGTTGATACGTTGCCGTTTTTCGGCTGTTTTTTCGGGGGTTGGGGGTCACCAAACCCCGCCAGGATGCGGGTAGACAACAAGATCGAGATCTATGATTACCTGGGTTCACTTCTGGGCAAACTGGATTTCGAGGAACTTTTACTAGCAGGTTGGGCCGGGGGATTAGGTGGTGCAAAGGTCGAGCTCACTTAACTGTAGTGGTTGCGACAGATATGGATCAGGTGCTGTACTGTAGCAATCACTTAGATTCAGATATTTGCCCTCGTTCCGTCCAAGTATAGATACAGAAGCTACTCAGAAGATGCAGTTTCTGCATACATAGATATACACACACATATTTATATAGATGTAGTATATACATCTGGACCCTCCAAGTACCCAAAAAACAGGGTAATATAGCTATATAATCTGTTATATTGCGACTTTTTACCATTTTTCTAGGTACTTGGAGGGCCTAGGTAGACACGTATGTATTATTATGTGTTTGTTAATCAGAAGGGGCCATGGACGTAAATCGATCCAGCTGCAGCTGCCTTTTGCAAATAGCACAGTGCCTGAAGTGTTTCATGTCATCTGGGCTGTACGGGTACCCTTCATAACTTTATCCTGGCAACGGAAAATCCAGTAGTTATTCACAGATCGTTTTGCTATGTTTTGCTATAGTTTTCGCATCAATTAAAGCAGACAACGAATGGCCCCAAAGCGCATTTTCCCTTTTACACAAGGACCCTCTTGCACAAAGGCCCTTCCTTTCACACAGATACCCTTTTACGTAAAGATCATTTTACACGACGTTTCTACACAAAGACCGTTTACAAAAAAACCCACAAAATTGCAATTTGAAATCACTAAGCATAGCAATTCTACCTCAGTTTCTGAGTCTCGACATGCACGATCTGTGTAGTTTGGAGAGAGTCGCGCGTAGCCCCGCAAAACAGCAATTTCACCTCAGTTTTCTTGACGTGCGACGCGCACGATCTGACTGTTCCTCTTGGAAGAAACCCCCAATACTCAGGCATCCCAGAAATTGAGTCACAATCCCATTATAACTTATAACATATTATATCATACTATAACCCCATTAAAAAAAATATGTTTTCTAAAAATATCTCATTGATTGGTCGGTGAAAGCCATTGTTTGGTGAAAGCCACTGTCAGGTTGGAGGCCCAGACCTCGGGGAGCCTTCCAGGCGGGAAATGATGGCTATCAGATAGCCTGTCAACATGTTTTCTTTATATGGGGGTTTCCATAAATGGTGGTACCCAAAAATGGATGGTTTTATAAGGGAAAATGCACATACATAATCAGATATCTGCATCTACGCCACTCAAGATCTATATCTCTATCTCTGTATATACACACGTTCATATGCTGCAATCACAGGAAGAAGTAGCAATTATCGATTCTTGCTCGTCGTTGGCCATGGCGCAAGTAAATGACCACATGCAGTATATCGAGCATTTGTACAACGATACACTTCTGGGTAGTCATCAGCATACCTCCGATACCGTCCATGTATGCTCTATAGTGTAGAGCTTCGCAGACTGGCGATGCCGGGGTATGAACTTTGCGGCGTTTTTGGTGTGTGTATATATTTATACATATATATATATATATATACACTGTGTATATATATATATACTGTGTATATATATATAATCAATATGTATGACATTTCAGTAAAAAGAAAAACATCCACTTCCCTGGGTGATCTGGGCCAGGATCGACCACCGTCGCCGGGACGCACTCAAGCTTCAGAGCCGAAGGCGGCGGCAAAGCCAAAGCCGGCAGCCTACCGGTGGGGTGCTCAGTAGGGGTTGCTGGTTGTGGGGGGGTGGGGATGGGGATCTGGTTGGGGTTGGGGTTGGGGGGGTTCTAACGTAGGACATGTCCTATATGTCCTATCAAGGCCATCAATTTGTCGTTTGGTGATCCATTTCTTCTTCCAATTCGCCTCCATAGGACCGTTTTGGAACTGATCAATGCAGAAACTGATCATCATTTTCCCATCATTTTCCATCACTTTCCATCATTTTCCCATGGGAAATTGCCACGTTTCTTTGGGGCTTTGGCCACACCCTGGATGTTCCTGAGGCCTCCAGGCGCCCGTGGTGGTGGCCTGGCCGAGCAGCTGCGAAAGGCAGACAGGGTGTTTTTGTGAATGTTTTTTGTTATTTTCTTTTAAGACTCCAAGACTCTAAGACTTCATTAAATGATTTTTTTGTTTGATTGTTGGCACCTGATATACTTGGTCTTACTTCCGTTCTACTGTTTTTTTGGAAGCACTTCCTTCTGTAAACACGGGAAGAACCATCACAAACGACGTTCAGGTATTTCCATCCACCTCCCAAAACAAATCCGTTCAAGTACCAGACATGGAATGTACTGATTTATGTACTGTGCTATTTAATGCCATATTTTCAAGGAATCAGAGGCCTTACTTAGGTGTTGAAGATGATAAGTAGCTCCAACTGAGGCCATGTAAACCCCATGCCCCTGACAATCTCAGTATATAACCACAACCATAATTAAAAGGGGTTGATACAAAGCCATCATCCCAAATCCAGCCTACCAAATGTCATAAATCCCAATTGGGGAATGTTGTTGTCGTTGTCGTTGTCGTTGTCGTTGTCGCTGTGGCTGTGGCTGTTGCTCTTGTTGTTGTTGTTGTTGTTGTTGTTGTTGTTGTTGTTGTTGTTGTTGTTGTTGTTGTTCATTCTTCCATTTATTCCATAAGCTCATGTTGTTGGAATACATATCTTGTTTTGGTTGGCTGAAACAAGTAGGAAACCCAGTGTAGCACTTTCAAACACATTTCACCCATATGTCTTTTTCGTCTCCTAAATAAGTCTAATAGGGTAACACCAAGAACAAACCATCCCCAATTTCACCTGAAATGGGTGGTATCAACATAAACCCTCCAAAATTGGGGGTTTATCATGGTTTATCACACTACTTGTCATTAACCTCCATTTTTCCCAGCAAAAGTGGGCTGATGATCTCGGCTCCAACGTGCCGTGCCGGCGCAGGAGCTGGGCTCCACTTCGGCAGAGGCGGCCACCACTGCCACGAAGGTTGGCAACGGACAGCCACCGGGGGATCCCCAGCATGGGACCATTGGTTTTAATCAAAAATGGTCATGACTTGGATGATGAAAGGGGTACCCCCACCATTTGGACTTATGGGGAAGTCCTGCATTTATTGAGAACTTTTTGGGGGTAAACATATCATTGGATTTTTACGGAATCACCATCCATGACGCCTGCAGGTTGGTGCCGGCGCGGCGGCGCCGCCGGTGTTCTTGCCGCCGGGCGCATCGGCGGCGGACTTTGCGCCGAAGGTGGGAGAGTGGGGATTTGGTGGAGAATGGCAGGTAGTTAGCAATACATGTTTATACTATGAATATAATAGACTTAAACATCACTTTTTGGTGGCTAAATTGTGTTATACCCTAGTATTCTAAGGGTCTTTGTAGTCATACTTTTGCCAGTGGGTGGTTGATTAGTAGATCCATAACGCCGAAGTCAGGGTGTTTTTGCAGTGATGGGCCCCTATTGCAAGAAATTGGGAGACATCATTGAAACAACCTCAAGGTGTGCGGGGTATTCTTCTGTTCGGTAGTTTCGATCCGCACTTGAGGTACAGAAACGCTCGTTTGCTGAGGTAAGCCAGCTGGCTGTACAACCTACATGGCTGGTAAGCCCCAAAATCATTACACAATTTAGCATCTGGGGGCTTTGATCAACCTTGAACTATTGGAATTCATTGCTGTAAGCCATACAGTCATAATCTGTGGCAGGCTGCTGCCGCCGCGACTGGTTCGAGCCGAAATGCTCGGAAGAAGAAGGCGCGTTTTTTCTCGTCTCCAAGATGGACAAATTGGAAACTGGACCCAACATGGCACCCCAAAGGGATCCTTCAACAGGCTTTTTCTCCAACTATATGTCAATGATCTACACTTTTGGTGGACATGTGTCATTTTACCATATTTTACTGTATTTTTTCCATTTTTTTTTTGGAATTTTTGCCCAACTATAGCCATTTTACCCCTTTCATTTGCCCACTTCCCTTGTACCTGGGCTGGTGGTCGCCATTGGTCGCCGGTCGCCAGGCCAAAGAGTCCAAAGAGGCTGAGGCCAGACCATTGAGGATATATATATAGATAAATAGATAGATAGATAGAATGAATGCATATCTGCCATAAGCCCCTGCCGCTAGGCGCCAGCACCCGAAGTGGAGAAGTTCTCTCCACCTCAGCGACAGGGAGGTCCGATGATGTCCGATGTGTCCCTCTGAAAATCACTGCTGCGGAGGATACCATCCAACTTTCTAGATCATAAAACAACTTTTTGATGATCACCACGTTTGGTGAATAGAATCCAACTTTACATAATATCAAAATCCCATTTTGATGGGTAAATCCAACTTTTCAATCTCAGACCTCGGACATGTTGCACACACGCCAGATACCTCCGGCGCAGGGGCAGAAGCTGCAGAAAAGCCGGCCCCCGCAGGTCCAAAACGGTACCCTGTTGGGGTGAAATTCCGAAACTGCCGACTTTGAACGAGTTTAACATGGCACATCCAGTGTTCAGATTTCTTGATCACCTCTGTCATGTCAACCTGAGAACCCCATAGTTTTTTGGAGGTTCCAGGCCTAAAATTTCTGTTGCAACTTTGGACTTTGGAGGTGTCCCATTGGTTCCCAAAAGGATCCAAAAGGATCCAAAAGGGTCCCAAGGGCTCCATAAAAATGGCACCGACTTGCAACTGTACTATTTGCTAGCCCTGCGAGGGGACGGTGATGAAGTTGAAAAGAAGGTAAGAGCCTTGAGGACTGAAACCGCTGACCATGCCGCACAGTGAAATATCCACCGCCAAATCAAACTAGTGCCAGGTCGCAGTTACATGTTTCAGTAGCTTGCGAGTGCCCAAAAAATGTTGTGGTTTTGTGCCTGCCACATGATGCAATAGCGAATAATTAGTAGGATACAGCGTATCTGCTATGATCTTATTCTCAAGCTGAGCATCATACGTGCACCACTCTAAGCGCCGTCACATGATGTCCACTAGTGGTGGCAACGTGGTTGAGCTGAGCGTGGTATACCTAAATGGTGAAGAATGTAAGTTGAGCATCAGTAGTTCCACTCTGGGCCGGGAAGTGCAGCAGATAGTTTCGCGGCAACTCCCTTCAAGGAAAGGGAGGAAAACCACGATGCAGCAGGGGAATTCAAGGCTGATTCTTGGTCAAACGTTGCAAGAGCAAGGCGTTGTGGGAGAGGCTGCAACACTTTCTTGCACTTTTGTTCCTACAGATGTGTATTCTGCATGGCGATACATCCAAGGATTGCCAGTCCCTGAGGGAGAGCTGTCACTAGAGGGAGTGACGAGGATAGCAGGTATTTCCTCCAGAGAGCTTTTGCAACTTCCCCGAAGTCTTGAATCCCTTGCTTTTGGCGATCCATTTGACCAGAGCTTGCAAGGAGTGACCTTTCCAAGCAGTCTTCAAAGCTTGACATTTGGCTACAATTTCAACCAAAGCCTGAAAGGAGTGGCCTTGCCAAGTGGTCTCCAAAGCCTGACATTTGGCGAGAATTTCAACCAAAGCCTGGAAGGAGTTGTTTTTCCAAGCGGTCTTCAAAGCTTGACATTTGGCCGGAGTTTCAACCAAAGGCTGGAAGGAGTGGCTTTTCCAAGCAGTCTTCGAAGCTTGACCTTCGGCTACAGTTTCAACCGAAGCCTGAAAGGAGTGGTCTTGCCAAGTGGTCTGCAAAGCTTGACATGTGGCCAGAAATTCAACCAAAGCCTGGAAGGCATGGTCTTGCCAAGTGGTCTGCAAAGCTTGATATTTGGCTTCAATTTCAACCAAAGCCTGGAATGCATGGTCTTGCCAAGTGCTCTTGAAAGCTTGACGTTTGGCTGTGCTTCATTGAACAAAAGCCTGCAAGGAGTGGCTTTACGAAGTGGTCTTAAAAACTTGACCTTCGGTTATGATTTTGACCAAAGCCTGAAAGGAGTGACCTTGCCAAGTGGTCTGCAAAGCTTGACATTTGGCCAATATTTCAACCAAAGCCTAGAAGGAGTGGTCTTGCCAAGTGGTCTGCAAAGCTTGACCTTCGGCCACAATTTCAACCAAAGCCTGCAAGGAGTGGCTTTTCCAAGCAGTCTTCAAAGCTTGACCTTCGGCTACAATTTCAACCAAAGCCTGAAAGGAGTGGCCTTGCCAAGTGGTCTCCAAAGCCTGACATTTGGCGAGAATTTCAACCAAAGCCTGGAAGGAGTTGTTTTTCCAAGCGGTCTTCAAAGCTTGGCCTTCGGCCACAATTTGAACCAAAGCCTGCAAGGGGTGGCTTTTCCAAGTGGTCTTAAAAGCTTGACCTTCGGCTACAATTTCAATCAAAGCCTGGAAGGAGTGGCCTTGCCGAGTGGTCTTCAAAGCTTGATATTTGGGTTCAATTTCAACCAAAGCCTGGAAGGAGTGGTCTGGCCAAGTGAACTACAAAGCTTGACATTTGGTGAGCGTTTTAATGAGGGCATGAACTGGGAGTTAGCGACTTTTCTACAAGTGCCACACTTGAGATATCTTGGCCTGGAAGGAGTGGTCTTGCCAAGTCGTCTCCAAAGCCTGACATTTGGCCAGAATTTGAGCAATAGTTTGGAAGGAGTTGCTTTTCCAAGCGGTCTTCAAAGCTTGACATTTGGCGGGTGGTTCGACCAAAGCCTGGAAGGAGTGGTCTTGCCAAAGGGTCTTCAAAGCTTGACATTTGGGGAGTATTTTGACAAAAGCCTGGAACGAGTGGCGTTGCCAAGTGGTCTTCAGAGCTTGACATTTGGCTCGAATTTCAACCAAAGCTGTCTTGAAGGATTAGTCTTGCCGAGTAGTTTGCGCTGCTTTTCATGCAGCCCCATATTTGTGAGCTGCTGTGGTCTGGATTAGATTTGAGTTGTCGGCATTTTTGTGTTTCGGAAAATTGTGTGGTGGTTGGTGGTTTGGACAACATGGGCATATGAGATCATATGAGTTCCTTCAAGATGATCAACTTGGAGCCATCATGAACAATAAACTGGCACACAGCTCAGTGGATCCAAAGACATCGACTGAACTGGAGGTGCTCCACATTTTTCAAGACCTTTAAGGCCTTATCGTCTTAAATCCCTCTCTTGAGTACCCAGCAGAATCTTGGTGGATTAAATCCGAAAACTTCCGGAGTTGTCTCAGTTCCATGCTCAGCAGAGCATTGCAACGGACCGCAGAGACGTGTCAGGAAGAAACTGAGAGATATCGACAAGTTGAAGGAGAAGGTCATGGGGGCCGAGGGTGGCTGACCGGGAAGGGCCGCTTTTTTTTCCCCCCTGTCTTTGTAATTCACATCTCCAAAAGGACGGTCACATGGGTCAAAAAGCATGGTGCTATGAGGTTTCGGAGATGCAAAGTCAGCATTTCTTTGGGTTCCATTTGACCGTCAAGCAAGGATCATTTCACCGACCTCACAACGACCTCACCATGACTTGGGGGTTGTCAGGAGAACCACTTCAAGAATATCATTCAGAGTCAGTTCAGAGTTGAACATTGTTATAATTTGCCCAGATTGTATGTGCGAGTACCCCTTCAATTTGATATGGAACCTGAAACATGGGTCCCCAGAGATGATTCTACCTACAGTATGGCAATTGTTGGTTTCAGAAATGGATTGGCGAAGCACTTTCGTCTACTTGCTGATGAGGGCAGATGCATTGAAGCCAAGAAGATTCGGAGCTGGACAGTGCAAAACAGATGAAAGCAGCAAACTCCTGACAAGTACTAGCTCTGGGATGTCTCTTTAACCAATCTATAATCCAAACGTCTCCAAGTGTCAACTTGGGGGAAAACCACGCCCCAAGTAGGCCATGGATGATGGTGGTCCACCGGAAATGACGATCGCCATTGCTGAGTCCAAAACAGCCAATGACTTGAACACTCTTGAACCAAATCCAAAGGGGGGCACCCCTCAAATATCTCATGAGAATCTCGGTTATCTCATAAGTCCAGTCCACCATTGATGGCCATTTTTATGATCATAAGTTGGGATATGGAGATGGTATGATATGGTCCCAATTTCATCCAATTTCCAATTCATTGATGAATTTCTGAATATCATATGACCATATGATCCCAATGTCATGGCACATTTTTCAGAGATCTCCAGGTGTCAGCAGGAGGTGATTTGGATCCCCTGCAGAAGCAGAAATTGGAAGGTGAAAGCGAGATCCTTCAGCAGAGCCTTGGCGCGTTTCATCGCTTTTCATAAGCAGAACAGTGATGACCTTATATATATATATCATATATATATATTTATCACAGGTTATTTTGTCTGATTTTATGACATTTTAGGAGTCCATATGTCATAGTCATAGTTATAGTTGTACTGAACTAGGTTGTACTTAACTCGGTTATAATATCCCAATTAATTACACACAGATTATATATATATAATATCATAGTTGGGATATTATATATATCATGAATGGAATATATGCCATATATGCCATATATCATATATATGTATATTACAACCATTATATATATAATCATATATATATATAGTATATATATATAACACATATATATATAGTATATATATATCATGATATATCCATAGGTCATAGTTGGCTGAGCTGGCTGTCCTGTATCGCCAGAATGGCGATCCAAGGATTCGGAGCCTTGGTGCTGAGCCCTGAGTCGGTGGCCATGGAAGCCGAAGATTTTTTTAGGTGAAACCTTGGTAGAATTTGGAGGAAATTTGCCTGATTTCTACATATTTCTACAAGGAATATTGAGAACATTTGAGAACTTTGCCAGCAAACATGGGTTTTGAATTACAAGAAGATGGGGATATCAATTTCTTCAGGAATCCTAGACATCTCAACAAGGAACTGAGAACTTTGCCAGCAAACATGGGTTTTGAATTACAAGAAGATGGGGATATCAATTTCTTCAGGAATCCTAGACATCTCAACAAGGAACTGGACAATCCTGGGAATTTCACTAGGAAAAAACCCGGGACTTCAACACACCCATGGATCCCCATGGGTCGCCGTCGAACGCTGCTGCGGCCTGCAGCTTTCCATCAGCCTGCAGGGCCGCGGCGCGGCGTGGTGTTGTCGTGAAAAATGTGGGATTTGGGACCTTGGGAAAGGGAAAACCGTGGGAAAACCGTGGGAAAACCTTGGGAGTTGTGATTTCTCCAATTTCGAAAATTGGTTGGAGAAATTTGGAACTCAATTTTGCATCAGATTTCCTGTAAAACTTCTCTTCAATCAATCCATTGACTTGGAGCAAGTTGGTTGGATGAATTGCAGGCCAAGGTGGCCGACCAAGTGGAAGGGGACGGCAGATTGATTGTATAGTCATGTCGAGTGGTACTGTAAGCAATCTTGCACACCAGTTTGATCCAAACCCAAATGACCTGCGAGAGAATTCTTGGTGACCAACAATGCAAGTCTAGGACTTCAGCCTTCGCAAAGCTCACGGATCCACACTGATAGTTGCAGCCTGCAAGATATGGGCATGATACATGAGATCATCATCATCATCATCATGATGATGATCATGAAAACATATTGCTAAGATATTGTAGTGACATTGAGAATAATGCTAGTCGTCCTCCCCCTCATGGTTTGTTGGTTGTATTCTCCATTCCTACCAGCTGCTGGTTTCCATGGCTGGTCCACATCCCATCACCGAGGTGAGGATTCTCCAGAGCCACTCCCAGCTTGATCATGTAGATTTGAGGTCGGGGGTAGATTTCCATGGAAGTTGGATGAAGTTGCTGCGTCCCCAGGACAGATCCATTTCTTGAATTTTCTCGTGCTGAAAGCTACTGAGCTTATCATTCAAGATGGGATTGTGATTGCAGACCTGCGAATTTCAAGGACCATCCCAGATGGTTTTTTGGGCGCTGCCAGGTACAATCGCATTGGCGACAAGGGTGCCATCCATCTTGCAAAAAGCATCAAGGCGGGATCAGGGCAGTTTGTGGGTCAAACCTCCTACTGTGGGAGATTCTTAATGTGGTAAACCCAATGGCACAAACCTTCAGTTGGGGATGGTTTAATCCCACGATAGCCCACCTATGTCTTCGGGATTGTGTATTAATTATTTGGTTTACGAACGTTGACGACATAAGGCCCTCGCTTAGCGTGGTGAACCGCAAAAATTGCCCGAAGTATGGCTTGACTTGCGATTTGAAATATGAAAAAAGGGATCACGACAAAGATCAATGCGCACGATATCACCTGAAGAACTGTGTTGGAGGCTTGCGAGCATTTTCTTTTTCAGCTGTTGCGACAGGGGCACGACATCCAGTTGCTTGACTTGCAGGCACGAGGGGATGACAGTCCAGTAGTGAAAAACCACTGAGCTGATTGATGAGTGGAGGCATGTACTGTAGGGCCTTTCCAAGTTTTTCAAAGTTTTTCCTTGTTCTCACGTTCTTTCACCCAGATCTCTCAGTTCGCAATTGTGCCTCATTCACTGTATCCGCAGGGAGACAAACCCCGGGTGTTCTGGGCATTTTTTTTTTCAAAATTGAGTTGCTATCCCTGAAAAGATCATCCCCTGTCAACAAATAATAAAAATCCTTGAAAGTTTGTCCTTACCCAAGTACTACTTGGTGGTATGCACAATCATGGTCGCATGTAGGAAAAATGGGGGATACCAAACCAGTGGGTTCTGGTTCTGATTTTGGCAGTGTGGGTACATTTGTCAAAAAACCAGGCTTCCTTCTGGGGGTTTTGAGATGACCATGATGGCTAGATGTTTTATGTTTCTTTTGGGACCAGTTGAAATCTCTTCAAATCCAGTAACCAATCATGGAGCTCCGGGATTCACGAAATTGGATGGTTTTTGACATGTTTTTCACGCTTTTTTTTGCCATGCACAAGCAATTACTGCCATTGGATGATTGGATGATTGAGACTGTGTGCAGAGAACCCTGAGATCACTGGGATCCCCAGGACAATGCGATTTGCGACAGCGGCGCCGTCTCTCTGTACCAAGCTTGCGGGCGAAGGCGGCTGAAACATGGTTGGGTCATGGGTACTCAGAGGTGCACGGAGCTTCAAAGTTTGCTTGAGACTTTCACTTGAATTGTAGTAGGTGGCCTATCCCTTTTTTTTTCTCCGCAGTGTTCAGTTGATCCATGTTGATCCACTTCTAGGAAAATCCCTAGTTTTTCACGGGGAATGACCATGAATCCACTATATCAATCCCCATGTTGGGTGGGCCAAGCATGGCAGACGGTGGCGCAGGTTGCAGCTGAATCTGGGTTGTAACTCGGTGCTGAAGCATCGCTTGACTGAGCTGGAGGAGATGTTGCAGGTGGGTTTTTGGATGGTGGCCATGGGGCGTTTTCCACATGGGATCACCTCCCAAAAATGATGGATTTAATAGGATTTCATAGGATTTAATAGGATTTAATGATATTCAATGATATTTTTCATGGGGTATAATATGTATAATGGGAATATCATGGTATTTGACCAACAGAGTTAAATGGGATATAATGGGATAAGCAATGGGATAACCAACATTTAATGGGAACCATAAGATTCTTCCCATGATGGTACCTGGTACCATAATATGGTATGATGGGAATCACTACCATGATTTATGTCCCAAAAATGGTGATTTAACCCAGATCAATGGTAGAATGAGATCATGGAATAAAAGATGGGAGGAATCATCCCGCAAGCTGAAACTGGGATAACCCCCCTATAATATAGCTGGGATATGTTGGGATATAGGAGATTGATCCCAAAGATATGTGGATATCATTTGGATAATACTTGGGATATATATATATAGGTGGGATACACACCTGAAAGATACCCCTGGGATATCATTGGAATATCGGTTAACCCATTGGGATATATTTACCATGGAGTTGACCAAGAAGGATGGGGTATATGACCATTCAACCAACCAACATTGGATATCATGTGGGTATACCAGGGATATAATTGAGGTATAGTCGGGACACAATTGGGATCTAGTTGGGATCTACGGCTGCGGCTCAAAATTTTTCAGGTCCGGATCCAGGGTTAAAACATGTTAAAACCCACAGGCGAGATTACCTACCGCCGATCCATACCAAAACACAGGTGATCCATAGGTATGGATCATGGTGGAACGATCCATACTCCCGATACCAATTTTTTGAGCCACAACCATATGTAGATATACCATCAACTTAATATGATAGTTGGGGGAATGAACACCATAAATCGACAAATACGAGGGAATAGCTATGATTTTCTACGCCATGGGATGGAGGCTATGGCACTCTATTTTCAGGCAAACCCCTTTGTTCCTATGGAAGTGGGACCTCTCCGGTAGTCAAACATGAGTGGCTGGGAAATCCCCGAACTAAATCGGCAAGTAAATGGGAACATGGTGGTTTTCCAGGCAGCCATGTCGATTACCAGAGGGCATTGAAGTGTTTTGGCATAATTTCTAGGCCGATGGTTGGATGCTGCCAGCCTATTCCACCATGGGGGGATGAACATCCATGGCTGCTACCAGCGATAATTGGGGCTATTTGGGGTTGCTGGAAGCATAGCAACTTCCTGAGTGTTGCTAAAATGACCACCATCAACTGTTGTGGATTTCGAAATAAACCCCATATCCAGACAGGCTGGATCCAACATTCACAGCATCACATGGCACTGTTTTGTTCTTTGAAGTATTTCTTCGAAGCATTTCTTCACGTCCCACCTGTGATGAATGATCCTTGGTTGACTCCTCTCTGCTTAAAATTTCACAGATGGATATTATTGGAAAGTCACACGTTTCTCATTTTTTCTAGGCAAATACCCTCTGGTAAACAGCCACATAGCTATGGAAAGATCCACCATTTTTTTATGGGAAAATCCACTATTTCTATGGTCATTTACAATAGCTTTTTGTATGTTTACCAGAGGGTATGTTTTTCCAGTGACTTTCCAATAATATCCATAAAATATCAATAAAAATATGGTTACTTAGTTACTGCAAATATGGAAATTATCCATAAAATGGAGCATCAAACCAGGGGGTTTTGCCCCAGCCGATGAGCTGCCGGTTTTGGAAAGAGGCGCGTCGCGACGAGGAGGATCGTCAGATGAAGGAAGCGCAAGAGAAGATGAGATCAGGTGCCGCGGTCCAGCGGTGGAAGATGCGACGGGTTGGTGCATCTATATATATATAATATGTATAAATAATATGTATATGTATATATATATGGGGGTTTCTATAAATGGGGGTACCCATGGGTACCCAAAAAAATGGATGGTTCAAAAATGGAAAATCCATCTATAAATGGATGATTTGGGGGTATCCCCATTTTAGGACACCTCCATAGATATACTAGATATAGATCCATAATGATCCATACATATATGTATAGAGGATCCATATAGATCCATCCATATATGAGAGATATACGTATAGAGAGATGTATCATGAGCATCATGGTGACCAACCACAGATCCAGGAGTCAGCATTCTGCATGACTGTTGACTCTCACATCCAGGTCTACCAGGGTGATTTTCCAAAAATGTTTGGACCACTGACCATTCTTGTGGATTCAGGCCAGTGATTTTCAATGCCATTGGGCTCGTTGCATCAGTCCAATCTTGACGCAGGTAAGCGTAAGACGAACAGACCCACCTCGCAACAGAGCAAGATCTCGCCCCTGGGG